ACCTTTCTTTGACTGTGCCAAAATCGAAAGTAACGTTCGGTTTAATCAAGTGGCCCAAGTGTCCTCTCGATTCTGATCAATTCTCCTGTCTACAGTTCCATACGCACCGTTTTAATTCCTTGAGCTTCCACATTTTTCCCCTCTGCTGTGGTGATCATCATTGGTTCCTTCAGTGATTCGGTCTTTGAAAAATCATCCCTGTTGGGACACATGTGGCTGCTCACCCCATTGTTGAATAATCCCCCAACTGTGACGTCCGGCTTGACGCAGTAAATGCTCTAATATTCCGATATCTTCTGCATTCTTGATCAGCCTTACAATCCTGGCGCTTGTGACCATACCTGTTACATAAGTAATATCTTAATAGAAAAGTGCCATCTCTTTGATTTGTGCTCAATCGTCCTGCAAGTTGTCGAGGTACGTTATTGTGCTTTGGCGTATGTCCTGTCTTCGAAGCAACTTCAAGGTACTCCAAAATCACCATCCCATCGTATTCTCGTCTCAGCCTCTCCTTTGCATTAAAAAAACTGTCATACCTTGCATGCTTTTGATAATCTTATCAATCGGGTCGTTGTCGATCATTACGTTACCTAACATTATTGCCTAGCGCTCATCCGGTGAGACCTCTTGACCGACGGCCTGCATAGTGGTGCACAACTCGTTGTATCGCAGGAAGTGATCCATCATGCTTCCTCCCTCGGACAACTAAAATTCGTGTAAGTGTCATTGCAGCTGCACGCGATTATGCATGATTTTTCGCAAGAAAAAAAACGAGAAAATCCCGTGCTTCTGCATCAATTTCACTAGGCGCACCATCGACTGCAGATTTGCAACGTTTATTGTCTTCACGCTCGCGAAGGCGTTGGCGTTGTTCACTTTCCAAGTTGACGCAGATGTATCTCCTTTTTTTGGGGACTTCATAGCATCAAGATGATCGGAAAAACTGTTTTTTTGCCAGCCTCATTCTAGCGCTGAACTCCCACACGAAGTAGTTATCTTCACGCCGTTTGCGTCAAACGTTTTAGGCTCATAACCTTTTGTATTATGAGGTCAGCCAAGGGTACTGTAATCTAATGTATCAAGAAGAAAATTAATGAAATGTGAAGTAATGTTAGATAGGTCCATAAATCGACGATGCTACCGCTAAGCCTATTCGTATTGATGCTACAAAATCACAAACCGAAACGATGTATCGATCTAATACCGTTGTGTCTTTTCTGTAACGGGGCATAACTCATTCAGCGAACTGACTAAGCCTTGCACTGCTAAAAGTGCAAGAGGTGTGTGCTTCCGAATACCTCACGTACACGTACGTGCAGAGAAGGATTGATTAACGGGGTAAGAGTACTCAGCAAAGGTAAAAGTAGAACTGTACTTGGTATAGTCAATCCTGTTAGTAAAATCCTTTTTGGCTTCATTCAACTATGTCAGAATGCAAACAAGTAATGTAATTATCTGCGCACCACTTATTGCGTGATTCTGTCGTAGCTAGACCTTGTTGGTTGTTATTTAGGTCCTATTTCATCCCATGAGCAGCGTGTTACATCTACGAAGCAATATTATCTATTAGAATATTAATGTGAGAATTTTGTGTTTGTTCTAACATAATAGTGAAGCTTGGTAATTATCTAACGTAAATTATCATGTAACGGAGGCATCCCGTTACAGTTTCTGTCACATGGCGTATTCGTGCCATCCCATTCGATACCACCGACACACTTAGTATCACCAACAGGCAATAAGAGCGGGTAAAGTCGGCCATGATGTCTTTAAATTGATGCCAATCACCATTGCTTCAAAAAGATCCATTCCAGATCTCATTTCAGGTGTCTCTATTACATACACCAAACCGGCCGAAAGTTAGATCATGACAGTTTTCATGACCGCACATTTGCCTTGTGCGGGTGATAAATATTGAATTGCTCGGACAACAGCATTTGAGCATCTACCCTGCACCTTTACGCATCAATCCCCTCTCTGCCCTCGGATCAGAAAAAAACTGCGCTCCACATGGAGTTTGCACAGGCTGCCAAATTATGGAACCGCCTGAATCCTGCAGACTGCTGACAATAGCTTCAGTTCGTCATCATTTACCTCTAGCTATGTTTTAAGCATCCAACATCACGTTTCGCAACTAATTTGAATTTAATTTGCTTTTTGCAATGCCCTCCTCTATTATTCGGGCCTTGGTCCTTTGATCTGACGAAGAGAGAGTATGACGCATATTCTTCATGACGTGTAGCAATTCCAGAGTTCGACGAGTACAGAGGACGCAACAAGAATAAGTGCCATTAGGTCCCTCTCGACGGTCACCTTATCGAAAAAATCTACTCATGCGGCATTTCATCCGGCTATAGTGGGTTGTTCGCGTACCTGAATATGCATCACTTTCTTACTCACTCATGCGACATTTCATAGCTTCAAACAGAATGGCTACGTCAGTTTGTTTCGCCTTTTACTCTGTCGGTAAACAAGCTAGCAAAAATCACGCGTCTACGCCGTCATGAGACATAACCGAGAGAGCAATTACACCGAGGATGACAGCATGAACATTAGAACTCTCTTTATTACTGAAAGCTGAGGAGAAAAAGATGAGATCTTGGAGGAGTGGACAAGCGTAATGGTCTCCAATAATAAAGAGGCCGCCTCGTATGATTTCGACATCTTGGTGTTGTATTGGTAAGATTCCGGGTTTTGTTACAAGCAATGCGTAAATACGCGACTCCGTCACTTGCAATCTAAATATGAGAACACGAGGCGTATTCGCACAAGCGATGTTGGTGGCCGTTCATAACGTATCATCTACCCAGCAACTTACGGGGCATGCTTTATTTAAACGTACTGACTTGGATTCCAACACCATCTGCGCGTCGTGTACAACAGGTCCTGGAAAATATCTGGCATTGAGGTACGCTAACTTTCTTCGACCGAATAAAAATAACAGACTTGGTGAGGCGTAATATCAGAGACGGAGCACGACTCGAGGAACTGACAATACACACGAATCACACTACGCAGGGAGCAGCTAAAGGTCATACATTTTGTTATAGAAGCTCATGAATTATATTAAATTTTCGAGGCACGCTAGATAGAGTCACGAGTTGCTGCGATGTCCTACTTTATTTTTCGTGCACAGACGAGAGAAGGACGTTCGCGTTTCTTGTATGGACCGACAACGGGCGGCAATAGCATACTGTAGCTTACGTAGTGCAAATTATATCTACAGAAAGACTACGCATCAAGCGATTGTCCCGTTTTTCACTACAGGCACTCGACGCAGCACTCTGTGGTGTCAGCAACATTTAACGGAGCGTTTTCCGTTCAATCTCGTACAAGGGCTTTCGTATAAGCAGTAAATAGTGCAGAATTTTACATAATGGATCCGCTGTCAAGACGACATGTATAGAAATAACGCAACGTATGTGCTCGCATATAACAGTCTAGTGATGCAAATTTTTGCACATCCCAAGCGAGGATCCTTGAGCGTAAGATGTACGCAGTTTATTGCAACTAGCCGTTAGCAGTATGGTTTAATAACGTTTCCTGATGGCACATTCATTGTGAGCGAGACTAGATCTTTTCGTCTTACTAGAGTCGGGCGTGCAAGCGAGTCCGGCCACTGAAGACCAAGGACAATATAAGGACGGCGGTTGATCGACTTGAATTTGTAGCATGTGCTTAGTCAAAGCTAAAGTAGTGAACGAAGAACAGTTCGATAACAAAATTGCTGTGTTCGTGGAGCATCGCCAGCAAACTGTGTCCTGTATCTGCACTTTTATACTAAGCTGGGTTGAGTATGGCGTCTGTTGACTAAGTTGACAATGCGGCGCACCAGACATGCCAACAATTGTTTAGTTTATCGCAATGTTTGTGCATCAAACTGAGTCCATCATATCTCTCTTTGATGAAGAAGAACAGGCACTTTCGACCGATCTCACATGCCATCTCTGGAAGAGCCTCGAGCGACAACAACTCAGAAGGTACGTGTACGTTCTATAATCGCTCTGACATCGTCTATTACCAGAACGGATAAGTGTCAGGCGAGGCAACGATAGTCAAATGCGTCATGCTGTAGAAATGTTTTTCTGCAAGAAACGTACGATCATCACATTCACGCTGGGGCTGAATGACAAGTAGTAAAAGTGAAGTAGACAAGAAGTTAAGGTACATAGACGCTTTCGTTCATAATCACGATGTTGAACATGGATATCATTGTTGAAGGTGGACAGATTAGTGATATGCGTGAGACCATGCAGTACTTAATCAATCTCCTAGCTCTAGTACGACTACGTGGCTTCCTGTACACGGGTTATCCACATGTGGTTCTGCCCACATCATGATTGATCTTCCGATACCTGGATGTAATGAGCTTGAACATGCTCGCAGCTTACGCAACAGTGGTAATCTGGTCCACCCCGAGGGAAATAGGGTGGAGCTTGTTACTCGCATATGAACCGATCAATGTGTGACTTCACTGGGTTTTCTCAAAACTTGAATCACGCCACCCGCGAAGTACCTACTGACTCAAGATCTTGATTACCGTCAATGGCAGACAGACAGCGTGTCCACATTCATTGACCACCGCGATGGGGTATAGGAAGATCATGATCCGGCTATCTTTCATTATTGGACCGGGTTAATCGAAAGGGAGAGTTCGCCGAAGCTGATACTGATTGCCTGATACAATGATCGTGATCATCGTGACGCTGCAGCACGCTTGTTATAAACCCAGGGTGAAAACACTGTCGACTTGGCACCGAAAACAAGCAGTAATGGTCGACGCATAACATACTTCAGCCTCTAGTTATTATTCCTTACACATTGTTTATTCTTTCACAATTCGGCGAATCTGCATTCCAAGATTCATTATGCCGAAAGCCCTGATCCAAGATATTGCATACCATCACACCACACGAAATTTGCCCGGTCGAACGGGAAGAAGCACAGCCAAGTACGTAATTATGTACCAAATAGTCGCCGTCGTTGTCCAATTCACATGATTACGTAGTCTCAGACGCAGCGTCAGCAACGCGGGGCTCAATCTTTAGTGAGCGCGCAAAGCACGAGTCGCCATCTACGAAGGGAACGGGTGAGCAGATATGGTCCTGCAAGAACATCATGGGTGCAAAAACAAGGATCAGCCATCCACATAGCCACCACTAATGCAAGCAAAGCGCTTAGGCCTTACCAAAACACGCTTGTCCGTCGGCAGCAAGTACGGTGTCTTCTGAAAAGACAGCAGTTTCTGAATAAGACAGCCAATAGAGCGTATTTTCTTGAAGTTAATCAAGTCTCCCTCCACACGATCCGGGTACTCCTGCAACGCAATCACGTTTTGGATCACAACACCCAAATACGGAATGAGCGGCGGGGTCGCTTCTTTCGTGAGTTTGTTGAGTGGCCGAGCACCCTTCTCCGTAAGCGGCATCAACTCTTGCCACAATTCCCGCGCTTGTGGTGATAGCCGGCCCCATGTTTTCTTCAGACGAAAAATGGAAGAGTCGTTTGCTGCGTTCATCACGGCCATAAACCCGTCAAAGTTTTGCAGAGGGGAGAGCAGAACGCCAGCGACACGAATGATATAGGCGAGAATTTCGGCACGTTGGTCCACATCGCTTCGCATAAGAATCTGACTAACCACCCAAGTAGAAACGTGATTATGCAGCAACCGAAGTCGCTGATACCCTGGTGTTTTCTCGGCGTTGCGCTTGGATGCTAGAACTTCGGACACTACGAGCACGAAACACAACGACGACGCAGTCAGCAAGCGGGTCAGGTTTACATGCGAAAGAATGCAAAAAGCAACCTTTACCTTTAATCTTGCTGAATAGGTAGTGCTGTATCAGAGTGATCTGCTGTGCGATAATGCATGGGTCCAAATCCAAGATCCTTTAGCAAAACAATGACATACCAATCGGTTAAGTATGAACGTGCAATATGAGCTGCAGCAACACTTACCATAACCTGACCATCCGCTGCTCTACAGCATACGTGCGACCCACATTCACGCCTCTTGGCTGCCAGGGTGTAATCGTAGTCGACCGTTCTTCAGATACAGTGGTATCACATGTTTCCTCTGGCTTAACCACGAATGACTTCTTTCCCCCTCCCTTCTTCCACACACCAGCGAGAGACATTCGGCGCCGCATCGCTTCTGTAATAATCTCCATACCCGTGGCAACGCCGAACAAATCGTCGTCTAGAAACTCTACGTTCGGGTTTGCTTGCTTCGCAGTGCAAATGAACTGCTTCAGGGACGTGTAATCGCTCTCACAAAAAGACAGCACTTGAAAATCTTGCACACGGTTGGACAGACACGCATCTGCAAACTCCGGCAATAGCGATGCACTGAGCCATTGCGCGCACTGTGGATCCTCCTTGGCCAACGCATCCTGTACAGGGACCAGTTCCGTGTACAATTCAGCTGCGTAATTGCACACAGTCATATCGCACTCAACGCTGTGCTTCAGAATTTCCACCAACTTATCCAGTGCACTCAGCAACATTCTCCGCACGTAAAACCCAGCCTCCGTTCCGACCGAGTACTGTTTGCGCATGTTTTGCAAAATGTCCACTGTCTCTTGAAAGGTGCTCCCACCTCCGTTGTTGGATGCGTACCCGCAGGACCATATGAGTGCGCTTAACTCCTCCATACGGTAATCCTCATAGCGCAGCAAAAAGTAGGCAATAGCATCAAATGTTCCTGCAATAATCTCCTCAACTCCACCATTTTCTTCAGTCACCAAATCCTTTATGCTCAAACTCTTTCCCAAAAGGTTGCTGTGCCCTGTGAGTGACATGGGAATATCAGCATGTTCCAAATCGTCAATGTCATCGTCATCGTCGTCAGAGTCATCATTCTCAGCCAGCATGCTGTAATCGTCGACCATTGCTAAGCTGGTGCTATCGGCCGGGTCTTCGCTCGCATGCGCATGAGAGGATCGACCAGCTTCCACCATAAACGCTGCTGATTGCCCATGCAAGTCGCGTCTTCCAGCACTTGTATCGTCGCCCAGTTTTGCCAATAGATTCGCATGCAATTCGTCATAACCATAAAGAGCAGCATAATGCAAAGGCGTACGATATGCTTCACAAACCGCAGATATTTCAGCACCGCTCCGTACAAGGTAATCCATTGTTAAAATGACTGAGGAGTTGTCCAGACTATTGCTGCTTCGCGAGCCATTCGTCATTTTATGGTGGTGGTCATATTGCCCGCTGCGGGCATTGCTGTGATCCGTGATCGAAGATGATACAGACGGTGACACAATGTCAACATCCTTCATGGTCGCGCCTCGATCTCTCGCAACTGCGACCATCAACGGAGTCAACCCGTCGCTTGTACGGACATCGACATCGCAGCCTCTCTCGATAAGCAACTGACACACACGTTGGCTCGCGCCTGCTGCCGCAAAGTGTAGAGGGGTCTCACCATGCAGCGTACGTATGTCGGCTTGGGCGCCATAATCTAACAACCCCTCTACTACATTTGCTTCGCCACTCTTTGATGCAAGCGCAAGAGCACTCATGCCGCGCTGCCAATTACGAGCGTTCAGATCAACCTTGCTATCTGCCTCCATGATCACGTCAATTCCACCAAGAAAGCCTCTTTCCGCCAACAACATAATCGGCGTGTTACCGTAGATGTCAACAGTGTCGACAAGCGCTCCGTGACCTAGTAGTTTCTTGATTATCAAAACGGCCTTATCAGAGTCACTCAAGGTAGCAGACGTCCCACTTGAAGTTCTCGTGACGTCACAAGACACACTCACTGTAGCCGGCATCGTACAAGGAGACCCGACCATGTGCAATGCGCTGCGACCGCATTCTCCGATAGTCTTTACCTTAGCACCGTGCTGGAGCATGTACGAAACAACGTTGAAATGTAAAGCACTTACTGCGACATGCAATGGCGTATTACTTCCACACTCATGAGCGACATAGTTTACGTCAGCTCCATTTGCAAGCAGCATTTGCACACTGAACACGTCACCGCGCTGACATGCGTGCATCAACGCCACATTCCACAGCGCTTTATTTGACGTCAAAATTTTGAAATAACTGCTTCCAGGGATGAAGGCTAACCGGTGAGGAGACGCTGACCCAAGAAGTAACGTCATGATGTCCTGGAACGGCCACAACACCACATTCTGGCCATTTACTGTCACCAGCACGTAACCCCGCGTGATGATATTTCCGACAGCTGAGTAGCCATGAGGCGATATATGCTCTACAATTGCACCATAACGATACGTTGGCTCCACTTCAAACTCTAATACGCGGCGCCAGTCGCCGTCAATCGAAAGCGTAATTTGGTCCTTGAATATATCTTCCAGTACAGCAGGAATACTAACGTTACTAATAAAATCTACCGCGTGTGTCAAAACGTTGAGTGACGTTTCATCATCAGGAGACCTGCCAACGGCCCACGAACCGTTCAATTCAGTCAACAAGGTCTTCAGCGAAATGAGGTTCTCTAGTCCACTGTTCGACAACACGTATGTAAATATTGGTATAATATCATCAGTCTCAAGTGTCTCCACGTCAGTAGTCGTGTTATGCTCGTCAGCATAAGTTGTCTGAATGTTTCTGATCGTACTTGTAAGTACGTCGTACTTCGCTGCAGGAAGTGACACTTGAGCAATTTGAGCGAGGATTCTAGACGCTTTTCTCCACTCTTTCCACGAAATTTGATGCAGCGGAATGTTGAAATACATCTGGTCTTTTCCTTGCAGCCATCGAACCTTGCGGTTGATCGAAGATTCTTCCTCGTGGTACACGCGACGCAGACCTGTATTGATTTTTTCCTGAAGCGGCACAAAAAGGACTTCTTCCACATGACGAGATACAGCCAAACGCACCATATCAAGCGATATCGGCTGTACGGCTTGTTTCTTGTCTCCACTCCTATCAGCGTTTATATCATCGTCGCCTGGATCCTTGAGTGCTGCCAAGATACGAGCACCGTGATCGTTCACAATGGCTTCTGTCAACTTTGCATGGAACTCTCGAAATTGGCGAAGCGCGCCTGTGCCCCGGGACTCAAATGAGCCTATGAACCCTTTATACTGAGCAGCTTCAGGGGACTTGCTCGTGTGAAGCACTTTCCGCAACTCAGCTACAATTCGAATACTTCGAGCGTCGATGGTGCTGGGGCGAACCCGATTACCCTTCGACTCGTCTCCCGAATGCAAAAGTCGATTTGCCGTTGACGCTCCAAGCAAGCTGCCCGACGGTGAGATTGTACTACCACCCCCGCCTGATAAACTCTGCAATAGACACACCCATGCACTCGCGTCTTCATCGTTCGATCCGGAACATACAAACGAAAAGTCTTCACCAGCTATTTCAAAACAGAATGGTCTCTTCGTCTCGTCTGGTTCCAAAAAGCGCACAGACAACATGCCGCCTTGCAAGTGCATTTCCCCTCGCAGCTTGCCAAAATTGTTTCCTTTATAGTACTGCAGTGATGCCCAATAATCCCCAGTTGCAGCATTCGTGCGCTTTATCAGTACGAAATACCGCCGTTTCCACGTTTTCCTGTAGCACACAAATAAGACCATTAACCCACCATTCACTTCAACAAGAAAAGCAGCCAGACAGTAAGAGCCAACGTACATGACATTTGCCTGTTTGTAAAGCCACCCACTGCGCACGAGTTCACGATCAATTCGGACCGGTGGAGTCGAGCTATTCCTTGCTCCTTGAGCACTGCTGTTAGACAGTTCGTAGCTCGACGACAACAGATCTGCACTCGTTGTTGACATGCTTAAGAGCGTCTCCTGATCCGGCACACGAACCGTCGTCCGGCCCGTAGGCACCCCTCTCCTCGCCGACACTCGCCACGAAAACTTCTTGTTGCCCGTGTACCTCTGAGCTCGCATGGCGTCTTCCGCCGTCTGCAACACCGGCACGACGTCGTCGTCGTCATCAGCGTCGTAGTCCCCGACGACGACTCGAGCGTCTGCTCCGTCTTCTTCAATGTCATTGAGTTCCACTTGGCCCTGATTTCCTCCGTCCAAGCAAAAGTCGCTACTGTCTCGAGCAGCTTCCAGCACAGGAATGTCTCCATTTGAAACTCCCCTTTGTCGCCACGCAGCGACTGGCGGCACCTGCTCCTGCCACAGCAGCGGGTACTCCACTGGCGCTGCTGTTCCTTGAGCTCGCAACGGCGGCAAAGGCGGTGGAAGAGCCCGTTTGTTGGTCTTAAGTTGCGGCACCGAAGACGCGGCTGCTGCGGCTGTTTCTTCGTCCAGGAGGAACGTGCTGAAGCTCAGCCGGCCGCTCGAGTCCGTAGCAGGGGAAGACGAAGACGACGACGACGACGGGCGCTTCATGTCGCGCTTGAACGGCTCAGAACCTGTGGCTCGGCGCAGCTCCAGCGCGCTGTGGTTCATCTGTTTTGTGGGTTATTGTTTCTTGTTTCTTCAAATGGGTTCACTTCAAAGGTGGGTTTTATCCAGTCGACGATGCAAGGTTTTTTTTCGGCCGATATTGGATTGTGGGTTTTATCGAAATAAATCAAAATCGGATTTTTAGTTGCCAACGGCGCGTCTCTTTTTGCAGCAAATGAGATGTCAGCAAATGCGGTATGTGAAGAAAGAGGCGAGGAGGTTGGATGCGGGATGCTGTGAGGTGCTTCGCGATGCAGAGACAGCGCAGACGTGACGCTGGAGGACGAGGACGCACGCACGTCGGAGTGCGCGATCGCCTGGTTTGGGTTTAATACCACACCGGACGCCGCGATTATTGACCAATACGAGAACGACTACGGCCAAGGGTGAAATGTTGGATAAAACGAAGGCGCTCTGAAGACTTTGACGGTAAAACAGCTGTCGCGAAGTCGTTCAGTCTATAGCACAGAGTTCAGACGTGGCGTGTACAAGGTCGTCATTGCGAAAAGACGGTAGGAAAGTGGAGGCTGTAGAGTGTCAGTCGATAGATATGGAAGGGAAGTCGTCGGATGCCAATTCGATTTAAAGTGGTGGCAATAGCAACGGAAGCGAGGAATGAGACATGTGTGATTTTGTGGTGGAGCGACCGTATACCTGAGTAAGGCTTCTCGGTGCGCTACGACGGCGCGAAGCTTGTTTCAAGGGATTGTCATGACCAAAGAAATTACCAGGATCTGCTGTTGTGATCTATTCATTACTGTTTACGCTCAAATACGAACACGTTTTGACGCCGGGGGTTCAGACAGCGCACACTGTTTTTGACTTCATGTAATGAGGTTCTGGATACCCTCGCCCTTTGTTGCAGCCGGTGCATTGACGACTATGTGTAATTTAGACGCCGAGTTCTTAGGATCAACATCGTTGAAGTGGATGTAGCGATGTGACCTAAATGCCATGGTATCGGACTATTACGGATGAAGCCATATTATCCCAGAGCAAAGAAAGAAGATCGAATGTAGGCAGATACACCGCATAAGCAAGCCCAAGCGTTAGGTGCATACTTGGCTTTTATTCTTGTGTCCTCAGTGTAAAGTGTGGTCATTAGCTTTCGTTGGACAGCGTGGTCGATGTCATGTGGATGTGGTTAATCTATAGGTGATCGGCAGAAATAGATGCAAAAGCACGTATGGCGTACCAAAATTATTCATCATTGCGTTACCAGAATCCGCGTCCTGGACTGCAGCGAAGTCCTTCGCGTTCGCTACTAATTTGAAACTATACTAGCCCGTCGTTAATGCTGTGATTCTCTCTGTGAAGTAAGCGGACTGCTCAATGGTCTTAGTTGCGTTGTTGTTGCGTCAGCACAATCACTTCCGTAAATACCAATAGAGATTTGTCGGACACTCGGAAGCGTCTGCATGCACCTTTCCATGCACCAGTACCTTCGTCATCTCTTACTCTCAATTGTGCAAGTCTGATGCAGTCACGAGACAATTCGCGTATTTGCACATAGTGTTCGCCCCTTATGCTGAATAGAATCGGGATTGACGGGACACTCAGCTTGTAGCAGAACTCGACTCTTGCTGATAGATGGAATGTAGTTGTAAACCTTCCGTCGGTTGCGGTTTCTGATACAGTCTCCTAGACGTCCGTACAGAGTCAAGAGCATGGTACAACTTGCACTTGTCGATGGCGTTACAATACACGGCATCCGGTCACAAAAATCATTTCCTGCGCACGCTTTCATCTGCCATCGTTGACGCTAAATCTCATCATTGCTGTAGCAACTTCAAGGTGTCCCATATGCAAAACGAGTACGAACTTTTCGGCGCATGTCCTGGCGGCACACTATGCCAACCTAGAACTCGCCGCAGTGGATATTATTGACCTGAGGCGCCAGGATTTCAGGATGATCCCGCCTTCCTAGTATCGACACGTTCCCGAGCACCAGCTGTCGGCCAGAACTGGTAAACTCGTCAGCGGAGCTAATGATGGATAGGGTTTCAAATGCCGTTAGGCCTTACACGCTTTACTAGTGCCGCCGTTGGTCCCTACATCGACTACTTCTTCTTGCGAGCGCATCTGACTTCCAAGACATATCGCTGCACCTCCACGTTTTGGCAAACCTTCTCCATTTTGTTCCTCCAGATTGCACACTGGTTGGAGTCAAAACCGTTGAACACATTGGGCGGTACTACAAAGTATAAACGCGGTGTAGCAGGATCTCCAAGCAGATGTAGAACCTCGCGAAGCCCTTTCCGTTCACATGGGTACATTGATGCACAAGTCACCTGGAACAGCTCATTAGGCTTAGCCATCGCATCCACTGATGTGATATTGCTGGAGGCTGGCTGCAGGTATATTGACGGATCGGCGTGGGCCACTTGGCTGACTCGCCGGAACAAGAGAGATGAACGCGGACGCAGCTTCACGATATCCCACGCCTTGAAATCGACCTTGCTCTCATTCTGGTTTCCACCTCCAGCATAACCTTTCGGGCCCTCGGTCAGACGCCGAGCTCGAAAATTTCCACCTTGCGATAGCTCTATGTGCACGTGTGTCTCAAACAAAGCTTCACGGTACGCTGCATGATTGCGAAGTCGATGGGAAGTACCAAGAAACTTCATTAGTTCCTTCTTGTTCCGCTTATACAGCGTCGCGTACACTCCATCGGTGACATATTTCGATGCGAAGGCAAAGCACTCTTTGGAAAACTCGCAGTCGACACGAAAGTGAATCAGAGCATGGGATAGCACACCTTCATCCCCGCATGATTCAACGCTCGCGCCTAGAATCGCCTTCAATTGAACTCTCGCAATGGCTTCACTGAGCAATCCCTGTTGTTGCGGATCCTCAGCATGGCGCAAGACATAGCGTGCAATGCCGCCCCATCGACGATAACATTCTTCCACGACCGTCACTGGTGTATGCGGGTACATCAGCTCGCGACACGTGAAAATCTCCTCCTTTGTCCACACTGGCATGAAAAGCGTTGCGCAGTTTCCGTCGGAAAAATGGCACCAAACGTCTCGGCGCGGCGACGTGATAAGAATTGTCTTTGCTTCACAGCTCGACGGCTCGACGCCATCTACAACGTAAAACGCTTCAGACTGGTCCAGAACGCGATCGAAATCCGTCCGTGATCCGATAGCCACCACTTCGCCACAGAACAAAAACCTCTTCGTGGCATTCTCATACACCACTGTAGCTCTACGATGGGCAAGATACAGCAAGACCAGGTAGCCAAAATACGTTTTGCCGATTCCCGGGTTACCGAGGATCACAAGACGAGATTTTTCATCCTCCGCGCGGTGTAAAGCATGCCAACAAACATGCCACAGTCGCGGGTAGCAATGACGAATGTAAATACGAGAGCCAAGGGACGGCTTCCCAAGAATAAATGTTCCTTCTGGTAATGCGATCATGGCATTCTCTGCGATCTCAGTAGTATCCGTTCGCAAAGCGTTCCAAAAATCGACCAGAAGTGGCGGATTCAACATCTTTTCAATGACTTCTAAAGTGACCCCGCAATATTTAAGTAGCACAGCAACTGGTTTACTTGGCGGTTTACGCAAAACCGATGGAAGCACTACTAGCACGTGAACGACCCCTTCTCCAAGAGAAACACCAGGACCAAACAGATTGGGATCTCCCAACGGATGCGACACGCGCATCCTCTCCATATAATCAAGACATCCTTTGGTCTGAACCACGTCATCCAGATCACTGTTATCGGGCAGCCACGCCCCATCCCGTTTTGCGAGAAAGAGGTGCAGGTCTATAACAGCGTGCTGTTTCAGCACTGCGCTCTTGTCTCGAATCTCGGTTTTCAGATGACCCACGATTTCATCTGTGTCGATGTCCACGGGGAAAACACTTTCGCGTGCACCAACGATCGCACAGAACAAAGTAATTTGCACCATCGTTCTTGACTCGGCAGATTCTCAAATGGTAAAGGTGCGAAGAGCCACCGAAGCTGCAGGATGGATCAAAGAAGACGTACTGCTGACGCAAGACGTATGCGGACCTGGTCTCGATAATGACTAGATGGGCTTCGAGCACATTCTCCGTGACAAAACTGTAGAAAGGAGTTGCGATTCTTCTTCACGGTTGGAATCTAGATCCTAGCTAAAGAAAACTGAATAGATCGACGCGTGAAAAGAAAGAGGTCGAGAGAAAGAGATCAGTAACTCATGGTAGAACTGGGTAGCCAAAGCGGTTGTTCTAGATATATTCGTCAACGCCAACTCTCTCTACTTTTCACAAGCCACGAGCGAGTCTTCTTTTGATTGATGGTTCGTTGATTCACATCCTGCCCGAAATAAATGATCAGAATGTTTCGAGTACGAGTATGATTGACGTTTCATTCGAGTCATTTGTTGATGTCCAACGACCGAGAAACTGTCCAATCTGCGAACACCTTTGATTCATTCGAGGAATTGTTGGTCGCTGTGGAGTACCGATAGCTGCGCGACATAAGGGTACGTCTCTCGTGTGAAGACCTCAAATTGTCGCTTCCCTATCCGGAGCGTTGTACGTCCAATGCTCGATATCATGATCCGAGGCTATTGGATCATGTTCAGGACTTTTTAGAGCGGGTTCATCTGCTACTTCAACATCACTTTTGTCTTTGTCGATCGCAATGTTCGAGTGTGTCTGCGATGTTACCTCGTACCAAGATCAGAAGGACTTAGGTGCCTTAGGATTGCAGTTAAACAACCCGCGTCGGTGGGGCGAAAGTTGCATTTCGAACACTCTTTGAATGCAGATACACACAACGCCTTCAAGACCAACTCGTGGCATCCTGACATCGTACTGACCACAGAAATGCATTACAAGCTCATCACGATCCATCTAAAGAACTGCACATAATAATGTGTTTGTGCTCAACGTGCATGATTGTACGTGATCCCTTTTCTCAAGTCCTGACACATCGAGCTACAATTATTTGTAGCAAGAAGCCAGTCAGCAGCAAGCATCTAGTCATTGATACGCCTACCGGAGGATCGAGTGTACTTTTTTAGCAGCGGTGATCGGTCCGTCCTATCCTGATCCTATACTCTTACTCGCGGTCTGATCAAGGCCCACCATTAACTATTGCCCCACATATGCTCTGAAGACTGTACTTCAATCACTCGCACATCTTTTAAAGAGGGACTGTACACCTGTGTTTGTGTTGAATGACTTTTGACCTTGCAACCTTGCATCGAACTATAACATTATTTACACAGATGTCTCTAACCTATGCAGTCGTCAAAAGCGGAGCAGAACATCGACAAAGCTTGAGGTGCAACCGCCTGACTCAGAATTGGACACTTGCTATCGGTTTATATGCCGCAGATGCGTCGTCGTTATTAGGACTTGTCCCGTCGACGCGTTAGTATCTCTATCGGACAGACCTTGCTGAACAAGCTGGCTTGTGTGCGTACATAATGACTTTGCCTATTAGACGAGATGGCCACTGATGACCCTTACAATCTCCATTCGAAACCACTTCTTGCTTGACCGATAGCTTTTTAGCATCACTGAGCAAGCAAGCTGTAGCTCAAGAAGGCTCATTGTCCTCTAATTAACAAGCTGTATGCAAGCTTACATTAAGCTTCGGCCTTTACGATGATGGAGAGCTAACATCGCTCGAGCATAAGAATAAATGTAGGCGTACGTTGTCAACTTACTTGACGATTTCGATCACCTCACCAAATGTGCTTCAAATCTCGACGCGCTTTCGTTTCTTAATTTTGTCGCTAACGCAAGAGCGCATTTTGTCTTGTTTTCGACTACGATATTTCAAATTGTCAGTCAAGTAAGAAGTGGTTCCGAATGAAGATTGTAAATGTCATCAGTGGCCATCTCGCCTAACGGGCAAATCTATTATGTACGCACTTAAGCCAGCTTTGTTCAGCGAAGTCTGTAGGATTGAGATACGAACGCGTGGACGAGGCAAGTCTTTTGTGTGTCAACAACAGGTGCAGGAGGTAAAGACTGACTGCAAACTTCTCCTGATGCAACACCGATGAGGTGGGGCCTAATCGGGCAGTTTCCATTTTCAAGTCCCAGACAATAAATGTTGTCAAAGCGTTATGATTTCTATCTTAGCGATAAGACATCCACGACGCAAGGACTGCCGCAGCCTATCATTGTACATTCGATGAATCTGCACGAACCCCAAGTTGCCTTGGAGCAGTTACACCAAGCCAAAAGCACGGCTCAGTGGCGACGCGGAAACAGCAAATAGCTGCAATTTGTACAGCGTCGTAAGTAAAAGGAGACCATCGGTCCGTATAATGCAGCAAAATTAATTGCAGTGAAAAAGCTCAATCAGTATGATTCTGCGTTGTACCCAGCCTTTTATCACTACAGAGTACATGCATGATTCTGCCAGGTTGATCGGGTGCCATTAACATGTGTACGTTTTACGAAATCTCTTTCTCCGCATGATGAGAATGTACCTCTACCATAACGAACGGCTGTGACATCTCAAATGTGAACCTGTTACATTTGGTACTATTGCTTCGTTATCAAACATACAAAACTACATTGACAATTTCATGGCTGGGCGTAGGTCAATGACATTTCTCAAAAGTTTTAGTGAGCACTTCTTGTAGGCCGCTCGAGGCACAGGGTATGTCGGCACATGATCGATTGACCGACATCAAATTGAAACAACACTTTCCAAAACGTGTAAAACGATTAGAGCTGGGCTAATACTTAAAGAAGCGATGCAGCATGAAATCACGCTCGGAAACGATAAGTACGTAGCACATCGAGTACATGTGCACATTTCATAAAACATGTATTCTTCAGTTACAACTAACGCGTTGAGAAGGTTTTGGTCTTGAAAGCTACAAAACTTAGTAAATCATATCTGCAATCCGTAGGCATGCCTGGCTGGCTGTAAGTATACCCTTTCGCATCCAAGAGCAGTGGACTTTTGACACCAAGTCTCGTCTGCGCAAACCTGACGGATCGTACTTGTACGCAAACCTTAGGATCAACGCGTGATGGGTAAAGTGAGCTTCGTGCGCTAACACTATGATGCTGCTAGTACTGAGCGAACTCGGTGCATCCACTGCTTGAAAATACGGAGCAAAATATGGTTTGTTCTGCCCTGGACGACACGTCCACAAGCGGGATTAAATTACAGAACACGTACTAATCTTGCATCATGTGGCTCGTGAGAAAAGCGCATCTTTTATTGTTCTCATGTAAGTGATCGCTTACGTGCACGTAAGTACATTAGTTCTTGTCTTTTAGTGCCAAGGTTGTACAGTTATAACATAGGTTACATTTGTCGAATAAAAGTACAGGCATTCGCTCACAGCGCAGAATCTGAGCCCAGGAGCTCGAAAACAGTTGGGTGCGTCATCGAGGAGCTTACGCATTGTGTAGATGTGATACGCTTTATGACTACACCAAATTGTCAACTCGCATGACCTTTCGAGCTACGCGAGAATTTCGACCACACTTCATACTTAACCAGTTTCTTGATACTGGATGGATACAGTTTTTGCCAACTTGTGTGAGTTCAGATCCAGCGCACCCTGACTTAATCAATCTAAACACTGTACGTGTTTCAGTTTACGAGCTACACACAGTGAACAAAAACGAGAAAGATATAAGGGTACAGAATCTGCTATTAGGTGCTGCTCGTATTGCTACAAATTTTTAGGCGGGCTGCAACTACGTTAACATTCCATGGTCTTGACGCGAGAGACTTCCATGAAGTTGTCATATGCCCTTTTGTCATTGTTCAGTCGGAACAGTAAGAGGTCCAGACCTTAGTTCCCCTCCGAGGTGGCCTCACTCCCAATACATCAGGGGGACCTTGCTGTGTCTTGCCTTTAAACAGAGTTGATGACTATGGCAGCAACGACTGTTAGACAATGGGCAGCTACAGCGTCTTCAAGAGATTTGTTGAAAGTGGGCTGCTTAAGGGGCTCTACTGGGTCTAGTCCACCATACATACAGCCTTGTTGGAATAAAGACAAGGCCCAAAGGTATCATTTGACTTTTTTGCAAACTGGTTCCAAAGTTGTTGGACTTTTGGCGGATCTACATGTGGGCCAAGGTGACGTCACGGAATTCTGTCGAAGGTTTATCTCATTTACGTCACATCTGATGTCTCATATGATACCGGATGCAGTGTTACAATTGCTGAGCGGAGGTTTATTGATTACAATCTCCGTGACGGCATGCGAGCTGATGTGGCATAATTGGGAAGACTCGACCACCGGTCGATGGAACACGTAACGTTGGCGGATATATCATGGCTGCGGGACCACCGAGGCTGCATCTATAATCTAAATGACGCGGATTTTGCACAAGGAGAATTCTACCTAGGTGACATAATGTCTTGTACGCTTTACCTAAGTGAAAGTGTACAGTTCTCGGCGCGGCTTGACATTGCAACCCAGTCGATGGCGAAAAGGCGGTACTTTGGTTCATTCTGCATCACCCTTCTGTACACTTTAAAGGCGCTCTTGTTTCGTGAAATTAACCCGGGTTGCTTACTTGCGTACTCAACTAAGGCCCACAATTATCGAGACTAGACGCTGAACGGTGACGGGAAGTTGATGACGTATCTCGATACGAGAATGGAGTGTGAGTGACACCAGTCTCGTCGATGTCCTCGTGTAATACAGCGGCATCTCAAGAAAGGGGCACTCCCGTACACTTTGACCTCCCCTGGATCTCACCTACGTTGTCTATATCTCGGAAGGACGACGGCGATGGCGGCCGCACCGACGCAAAATCAAGCGAGCTATCTCCAAACGATGTCGCGTGGAAGGGATGTTTTTTTGTGACAAGCGAGTGGCAAAGACAGACTTTCAAGTAATTTCTGACGAGACATCACTGATGACTATGAGAGAGATACGCCGGGTGCGAGCATCTTTTCCGACAAATGCGCAAATGCTGGATCGCCTGAAAGAAACAGCTTCCTACTACGGAAATTGGCAAGCCAGGATTTGTAATGTGCCGTGCCCGGGTGCTCGCGTACCTTTCCTTTTGCCGTGCGACATGCATTTTGGACCTGCTCTAGTGTGGGCCGACACCAGAAGCATCTACTTGTAAAGTGGAGCCCGCTTGTAGGATCCAAGATGACGGACTTGAACACATGGGTGCTTGGGCTTGACCTTCCATAAGGTACGCACAAGGCTTAGGATGTTATCAAACGAGCCTTCGCTTGAGGCATTTAAATGAAGGCGGCGAACGATGCAATATTCCCGACCGCTCGGAAATTACGGCGTTTTGCCGTCTCCACGACACTTCATGCTATCTGGTTATAGCGGCTTCACCATTTAGACGACCCATCACTAACGGAGGAGACACACATCACCAGAGCCAAGACGCAATTTTGACGTGCGATAACCCGATTTAGAGGGTCCTTATACCAGCCGGTCATGAACAGAGACGGAGAAAGGTTCGCGCGAGTGAGGTCAGCTCTGGCGGACATTTTTTATCTTCTGCGTCGAAATCCACCAGCGATGCAAGCGTTGCTCATTCGCCGGTACCCGGGAATGATGTTCCTGCTATTCTTTGACGGTAGATCTTGAGGAAATCTAGGACCGGGCAATCTGATTCCGTTATTGTCCAACTCAACATTGCGACGCACGCCGCTCGAAATTTGTGGGTTTCAAGCATGACGTAAAGCGTTGCCGACACCACAAAATATACTGCTGGATACTGGGGGCTTGTGCACGGTCTACGTTACGCGAAGGTGTCTGGTTACTCTCCGCTGCATATCTTTGGAGATAGTGCGATGGTGCTCTCACAGCTCCAGACTCATCATCCCCCGTATAATGCCAGCTTGGTGCCACTATTTCGGGAGGCACGTGCCCTTGTGGACGATCTTGAAGTCTCCTGCTGCAGCCATCACTATCGCGCCTATAACAAAGTGGTTGATCGACTATCAAATATATCGATGGATACGACGGACTCAATTCAAGTCGATTCTTCTACATAGCACAGGGTCGTTTTGGAAGCTACGAATTCCTTGACAACGATGTCAACCACTGGTTGGAAGCATCAGAAGCAGAACACCACGAACTACAGGGCCCCGAGTTGACTCCGAGGAACCTAATTCTCTCGTGGAGAGATTCAACATGAAGGCGCACGGCTGTCCGCGGACTAGTACTACCTAGTCTTAAATGAGTAGACGTCGCTTTGGTAACACTGTTATCAGGCGGCATGACATAATAAATCGCAAGCGTACCTGAATATACCTCACCTTCTCACTCACTCACTGCATAATCGGCAATTTCTCGATAAGATTGAGGAGATATGTGATGACTTCAGGTGCGGGGTCGTACTCGATATTTGCAGGCTCTAGAAATGGGTATCAAGATACCAGTCTCTAAGTAATGATGACTGATGATAGCCACGACAATACGCACATCTGCTCATTCCGCACGCGTGGTATGAGCAATTGCGTCAGTCTTTTGGGATGAATACATCGCAACTTCTGCTGAGCTAACACTATCAACACTACACAAATACTTCCGTGGACCATGGATAAAATTCCAGCGTGGATACAACAGGCTCTTCTAACATGCACACGAGCATATTGTTCGTTAAATCGAGTACCCTGTCGAAATTACTGAACGCCAGATAGCGCAGTCGACTCGAGTTTACGCGCTTAGCAATACGCGTTCTGACGCTGCTCACGAGGAGCTTCGAGCAATATCGTGAGCACAGCTTCACTTGCGATGATTAAGGACCGCCAACGTTATATTCGCGTGATCCAAATAGTGCATGTTTAGCTTTCAGTGCAACCTTACCAAGTTGTAGGTTGAGGATGAGACTATCCATGCAAAACGCAAACTACCGCGTCTTGCCCTTACATGGCACCTCAGCGCACATCTTGCATGGTGCTTTGGACGAAACAATGTTTACAGTGAGTGAGCATGCGTCAGCTAGATGTTTTGTAGGTGCAGCGAATCCATTTAGCATTTTTTACGACCGACGTCTGCCCTCTTCTCCCACAGAAGGCCTACACATCCTTCACCGGATGGCAACTAATACTGGATTCTCTGGGGAGCAGCCAGTCCAGGCCCTGACTATTCGATGTCGGGAGTTTGTGCTTCTAGCTCAGTAGTTCCGGCATTCCCGTGTGGTACAACTGAGAATCATGCGTCAACCATTTTTAACGATCTTGGGTTGGTCGAACGGGGATCGAACCGGCTATCATTGATTGGAACCGCAGTGCTTACCAGGGAATCAGGCGGGAACCCACACGGTGCGTGAGCAAGGCTGACAATTAATTTCCAACAGGCTTCTGCTTCTTCAACATGCGATGTCACTTTCGTCCTTTTCCTTGGAATAATGTGCTTCAGCAAGTGTTCATAAGCTAGCACCAGTCCGACATTGGGCAGCGTTAGTTCGTAAACTTTGCGAAGTATATCATTCGTAGAGTCGTAGAAGATGGTAGCATGATCCTTTTTGTGCTTGCAATAGTACAAGAAGGAGGTGCCTGAAGATTTTGCTGTAGTTTACCGGACATCCTGGCAACATAAAGGATACAGAGACAGAAGTGCTCGCATCTTAAATGTGAGCCCCTGATTACGCTTTGCACTTCGACTCCTTCCAGTGCAGATTGTAGTCTGAGTGTAATTCTGACAAGACCACTTGGACAGAAATCGGTTGCTCAGCATGCTTCAGTGTTTAAGGCGACCGATCCACTGCGTTGTCTCGGAGATACTTCGATCAGCAAATTCTATGATTGAGATCACGCAGATATGCGCCACTGATCCACGTAACACTGCCAGCGCTGAATACGCAACCCTGCTATTTGTTGCGTACCACCGTCGATGTAAATGAATCGACGAGTCTTGTGCTCCTCGTTGTTGGTAAAGCTGGCCAGCAGCTTGGCCAGTTAGTGTATGTGATTCGACAAACGCGTAATACAATTCACGATGGAAATTGATACTTACCCGGTGAACGAAATCTGCACATTTGCACTTGACCGTGGATAGCGATCGCCGGCCACGAAGAAGACTTTCCAAGAATGATACGAAGGAATATGTCGATCATCAAGAGCAAGAGATCCGCTATGTACACAAGGTACTCCGATGAGGCCATTGATAACTCGAATGATGTCTGGTTTACTTATTTGCGCACGCACCTATAGCAAGTGCACATGCGATGACGAAAAACTGCATCTTGCCTTACTGCATAGGTTTGACCTCATAGTCTGGCTCAGAAATTGTCCGTTGTTCACTCCCTACGAACGGCTTTCCATTCACGTGTTCTAGTTTACCCATTCAGCTACCTGAGCCAGAGGTAGAGCACAAAGCCATAAATGATGGACTACTTGAGCTCGAGATTCTTGACAGTTGGCCTGTGTTTTACGCAATAGGGTGACACATCAACCGTGTTATATCTTGAGGTGGATGCAGTGACAGTCAGCCGGTATCGTGTTTGTGCTTCAGCTAGGTGCTAGACTGGTCTGCATCACTTTGTCAACGTACCGTCTCTATTCTAAGCCCAACATCAGCGTAGAGCTTGAGGGAACATAATAAATCACTCTTGACTCCACCTTCATAAACACTCCACTGTCTCGCATGCAGACACAGCTCGCTCCCTCTCTCAGCCACTTCAACACGATAGCAGGGAGCTTGACACGCAAGATCTCGAGATGCTTGGCACATACCGAAGCAACGCGAACCTTCTCGGCGTCAGCTTCCTCTTGCACCAACGACAAGACCCGAGGTCCCCACCTCAAGCACAACCTCGACACGCTGCCCTTACACTTTCTTGACAATCTGCACAATATCTTCGTCTTGTAGCAAATGTTCCTTGCCGACCTTCTGCGGCTGGTGCTTACACGACGCGCCCCAGACCCAAGCGTACTTGAAATCCTTCAGCAGCGACTTGTGAATCCGCTGGCAAAAGTTCTCGACTGTCGGCGCCTCTTCGTGCAGAATCACGGGCGCCGTATAGTCTGGTAGTCTGCCTCTCGGCTTCGTATAGATGCGGATCATGTTACAGTAGTCCCAGATCGTCTCGAGCAGCTCATCGAGATTCCAGCCATGGTGCGCCGAGATCACAACGTTGTGCGGGATCTGGTCAATGATCGTGAGCTCTTCGATCGTGAGTTGGTCAATCTTATTGAGCACGTAGAGACACGGGATATAGACGCGATTGCCTTCAATCTGATCAATGAATTCGTCCACCGTCACATCGGCACGCAGTGTCACGTCTGCATTATGGATCTTGTACTCGTGCAAGATCTGGTACACCGTGTCCGCGTCCAGTTCCGTCTGAGGACACGTCGTTTGAAAGTGAATGCCGCCTCGTTCCTTGCGTCGGAGCACCATGTTAGCTGGTCTCTTGTTCAACCGGATGCCGAATCCCTCGAGCTCAAACTCGATCAGCTGCTTGTGCGTCGCGGGCTTCATCGCGTCCAGCACAATGAGGATGACGTTGCACGTCCTGGCCGTGCCAATGACCTGTCGCCCGCGTCCTTTGCCGTCTTTAGCGCCTTCAATGATCCCCGGCAAGTCCAGCACTTGGATCCGAGCGCCTCGATAGTGGAGCGTCCCAGGGATCGCCGTCAGCGTCGTGAACTCGTAGGAAGCAGCTTCCGAGAACGTTCCAGTGAGCTTCGTCAAGAGCGTGGACTTCCCGACGGAAGGGAAGCCCACGAGCCCGACGCGCGTGTCCCCCGCTTTATTGACATCAAACCCTTCGCCGGCGCCGCCGCCAGCGCTCGCTTTGGCCCCGGCGTCCGTCACTTCGCGTCGGAGCTTGGCGATCTTGGCCTTGAGCAGACACAGGTGCTTCATCGTCGCCTTGTTCTTCTGCGTGCGCGCGTACTCGGCCTCGAGCTCGGCGATCTTGGCCATGGCCGCCGACATGGCTGCAAGACGTGCTGGAAGTGGTGGTGACTAGTGCTGGAAGCGACTGATTGGCTAAAAAGAAAAACACCCACACCCCCATTTGGGTCAACACAAAGACAAAGTGGGTGATAATGCCGATTGTACCCAATTGACAGAGGTATACGGTATACAGTGACCCAGGGTGGGTACTGGACGATGGGGTGTCGGTCGTCGAAAGCTGTTGCGGTCGCTCAAGTCGCGCAGGGGCAGAGAGGCCCGTTGACGATCGGAAGCGGAAGCGAAGGACGAGGAGGGGACGGGCTGCCACCTTCTGCGGCTGAGAAACGCGCGCGAGCAGCCGACGCAGCGGATGCCAGGCAACGAGACTGGCGACAGGGCGGGTGTGTCGACCCGGACAAGGCGCGAGATATGGCCGCGCGTCGGGCGAAAGAAGAGCTGCTGGCGACGATCTATAACCGGTACAGGACGCTGGGGAGAGAGCCGCCAATCGGGTTGCCAGCTTGCAACTTGGAGCAGCTGCGGCGGCACCTGGAAACGCTGCGCTAGAAGAGGGATAATCAGAGGGAGGTCGAGGTTGATGGGGGTAGATGGGAACGAGACGAGGTCGTGTAGAAGGGTAGGTGTTGCAAGTGTTCGTACTGGAGAAGGAGGCGACTTGGTGATAAGGCCATTGCGTTCAGGTGTCGTCGGTCATTTGGGAGGCAAGTCTTTGGTATACGGATAATGAAGCCAGACGTCGGACGGGTATACATGCCTTTTGGGCTTCGACTATCAGCTGGTAATAGCATATCCACCAAAGGGACGATGGTGACAACTTTTTTGCCGAGAGCAACCGACGAGCAATGGGAATATGCCGTCAAGCTTTACACGACATTGGGAAAGTTATGATCTCTTTTTAGATCACAACGATCTGCTACTCACAGTTGAATTACACGACATTTTACGGTGTTCCGTACCGCGAGCCGACCGTGTTCACAAGGACAGTTGCAGCTTCAAGACGAAGGTTCAAGTAGACAATGAGGTGATTGAACGAAAAGGAACTTGATATGCACGTGATACCACGATTTACTCATACCCCAGCGCTTTTGTTTTCGTAGCGGTCGACTGCACGGATCCAACTCTGTCTTCTCATGTATTCAAGTTGGTTGCACGAAGCTCCTCGTACAGCCTCATACACCACTAAATTGTGTACACGAATTGATTCCTGCTAGCCCAGGAAGTCCAGCAGCACCTCAATATCGATGTAAAAAAGCCCGCCACGACCAAGTCTCAATCCGCTCACACTTTACAGCATTTTCCATCATTTCCGTCGATTGCTGAATGAAGCTTCTGCATCCTCAGGGAGTGCCCACAGTGCTCGTTGCAGCTCGTACTGCTACGTTCATGACAGCAACAATGCCATTTATTGATAAATTAGAAAGAACGCGAGGCATCAAGTCAATCTATACACGCCAGAGCTTCGCTTGCCACAATTGCATTCCGTGATCCAAGGCATTTCAAGCCGCGAGCTCATTCGACGGATACTTGGCCGCTATATCATCGAAACCAGCTAGAAATGCTCGGAGAATGCATGACCAACAAAAAGTCAATGCTGTGGGTCATCGAGACGAGAATCATCGGCCACTATTGCCTTCTCATTCTAAGTTTCATTATTGTTGTGAGTTACTGTGGCTCTCACTCATTCGATCCTCTCTGGACGACGCTAACCCCTTCAACTCGATCCCTGTTGTTGGTATCCGGCGAGCGCCAGCACTCCAGTCGACTCGCTCGCTAATCGAGGAAATAATTAAACAAATCACTGAGAGATACGAGCCCCACGCACCGTGAATACTCGTCCACGCACACAAACCGATGCGCTTTGCATGCCGCGAACCGTTCGAATATCATATGCAGTGTGTCAGTCTTGTAACATAAATGCAAGCCTTCTCCGATGTTGCCCTATGCTCCATAGTCCGCAGTCAGCAACCGTTTGAAAAATAATACACAGCCCAAACGAACGCGCTTACGACTAACGCACCTCAGCAGCTTGGATCCGAAGAATTTCGCCCACAGGCATGTCTAACTGGGTGAGTGACCGGTCTTTCACTAACTCCGTGACGTTCGATACACAATAAATATTCACAACAACCCCTGACCCAATACAAACAAACAGTCGTGTGAGACCAATCCGTAAGTCCAACAACAACAACAACGTGTTTCAAGCGGTCCACTTACCACTCGGGTCGACTATCGGCACAGCAGAGACTCTTCGTTCAATGAGAGTATGCAGCACGCGGATAAGCGGCATGTCTTCCGGGACGGTCACGAAACCAATGTAGACGCCAATGCCTAGGTCAAAAATGGGTTGGTCGAACAGTCGACGCTGCTCGCGGAATGTGGCCACCAGGTATTCCAAGATCCCGCTGTGCGTGATGACAGACAAGACCGAGTTTTGAGTTGGATCTACTACGGGCAGTCTATGAAGCCTATGGTCACGAAGAATCTTGCATACATCGTAGAGGTTGTCCTCCGGTGTGATCGACACCATCTCCTCCTTCGTTGGTGCCATCGATAGCGACCGTGGAATTGCTGCATCTCTCACGCACAAAAAAGAAACATGATAAGCACCGTCAACTCGCACACACAAACACCACAAATCCAGCACATTTCACTGCACTTTACCTCTCCACGAAGCAATGCTGTGCTCCGCGAGCTCATTCATCGGCGACCCACGGATGTAAAAGTGACGCAAAATGTTCACAAAATCCGTGGCCGTGAACATGCCGACAAACTTGCCCTGCTCAGCATCCCAGATCGGCACCGACTTGATATCTAACAATAGCAACACCAGCAGCAACAACAGCAGCATTAGCGGTACACAGCAACAAAGCTGCCACCACACCGTTCCACAACCAGCTCCTGAGCTTTTGTATCATGTCTCACCGTGCTCGACCAGTGCGAAAAACGCGAGATTAATCGGTATCTTGACGTCAAAAACGACGACTTTGCCGCTGTTCTTGATCACGTCGTAGCACCGCGTGGTGCGCAAGAACGCGGCAATCACGTCTTTGCCTTCTTTGACCACGTCCAGCACAGCCGTTTGGTGCAAATTGAGCCCTGAAGACGACGCCAACGAGGCACTTGGAAGCCTCCGGTCCGAGTCGCTCATGGCTTGGTCCTCGTTGGCCGGCAACAGCTGGTGAAGCCGGTCCGAGTCGGTCATCAAGTGGTCAGGAAAGCCGGGAGCTGGCGGCGGGGGCGGCGCCTCGTCCTGCGAGGAGGCGTAGGATCCGTCATGGGCCATCCCTCCGTCGCCTCGTTTCCTCTTGCGGTCCGCGAGCGTGGTGACGACTGACGACTGCAGGAGAGAGAGAGAGAGAGGGAGAGGGAGAGACGGGACGGACCTGGGACAGGGGGACACGGCACAAGGGGTGGGGGTGAGGAGGGGGACGAGGAGCTCTTTGGGGACGCGTTTGTGCGCACGTCCTAGTTGTTGTTAGAAGAGGTGGATGAAAAGCGCTTTTTATGAGGAGCTCGTTTTTTGCTTTGTTGTGGAGGGGAGGTGTTGCTTTTTTTTTGATGAAGATGGAGGTGATGGGAAGATGGGAAGATGGGTTTTGGCCTATGATCGAGTGGAGAGGGGGGGAGGGAGCCAATGGGAGAAGAGGTTGTGGTGTGTTTTGTTCTGGAGGTTGGGCACACACTATCGATTTTTAGGCGGTTTGGTCAATTGGGTTGATGCGCGGGATGTTCGTCAACTGGATACGCGTGGAAGTCGCAGTCCCGGCTTTGTCGATACGTTCGACTTGTTCCTTGCCATACCACGCACAGAATGCTACTACGCGATCGAAGGAAGCCTGTTGGAAATCTCATCACACGGCGCTCGTAACGCGTCGTCATCATTGCCGCAACGACAGCATGTTCCGGTTTCGAGTGCAGAGCAATACGTACTGCAAAAGTCAGTGATCAACTGCACGATCGCTACGTGGGTCTTGCCATCCAGCAAGACCCTAAGCGGCGTCGCTACAGTCTTGTCTGTTTGGTATACATCCGAGATCGATCTCAAAGATTATGGTGCACTGTGTGTACATAAGTTGTCTACTGCAGATGCAAGCCACGACCTCATTGAAGGTTATCTCCGTCACGTGCTTGTGAAGCGCGTGACAGTGTGCCTTGTTCAGAATCGCGTGACTGCTGGTTTGCTGGATGGCTGATGCACCTTACAACATTGAGTTATACATCACGACCAAAACGTGTTCGAAAGCGGGACTGTGGTTGGACTTCCGATGATAACATGGTCAAAGTAGGCCGGTGCAACGGAAGTAGATGCCCTGGTAATTTGCTGTTTATATCGAAGTTTTCTGATCTTCGCATGATGGAGGCATTTGATACGCGAGTGCGCGTCCAAGTATCAAGTGTGTAGAGATCGCGGCAACAAGCATGCGGGTGATTCGATCGTGAAACGAGGGAGTCTTCGACTGCTACTGACTAATGTAATGGTCACAGTTCACACGTACGATATCGTATACCCTGCTGCTTTAGGATATTGCAGCGAGTTCCATCCGGAACGGGTGCAAAGTGCCGCTTGATGGATTCACAATAAAGCCACCCAAGATTCAAGTACCCAGTCAAGTAATTGAACCACATCCAAAAAAAGCTCGAAACGAAAAACACACCAGCTGCCGATTCTTGGGTGCCACAGCGGCTCTGAAGTGGTAGGATGTCGAGTATACTTAGCGATGGCAGTTGTGTCTCACGTCGCCACTATTTCAACACTCCCCATCAGAGTCCACCCTGTCCATTTCAGCCAATCACAACCCCAGCTCTCGAACTTTCTCGTCTATTCTCGAGTAGCCCCAACTCGTATGCGACACTTGCTCCTCTCTTTTGATCCTCTAGAAAAAGCGCCTTTCAAAGTGTCAGTTAGATCTCTCTCACTCTTGAAATCGCGTGGTCGAGCACAAGTGATCGATATCTTACTCTAGAAGCGACCTAAAACATGGGCAAAGACTATTACGCCATTCTAAACGTGGCCAAGGGCGCAACGGACGACGAGCTGCGCAAAGCGTATCGGAAACTGGCTCTCAAGTGGCATCCGGACAAGAACCCGAACGATCCGGATGGGGCTCAGCGGAAGTTCCAAGAGATTGGCGAAGCCTACGAAGTCTTGAGTGACAAGAAGAAGCGCGAGATTTATGACGTGTACGGTGAAGAAGGACTCAAAGGCCAACCAGCTGAAGGGCCAGAAGGGGGAGGGATGCCTGGCGGCATGCCGGGAGGGTTTACCTATACCACGACCTCTGGCTTTCCAGCTGGAAGCTTTGGGTTCCACTCTTCAGACGCGACCAAGATCTTTGAGCAGTTTTTCGGCACGTCAAACTTGCACGAAGCTGAACGCAGCGCCCCCATGGCTTCCATGTTTGGGGACATGGGCGGCTTTGGTGGCATGCGGGGCATGCGCAGCAGCGGCTTTGGAGGTGGTCGCGACCCCTTTGGGCAGTCACAACCGCCACGAGCTCAGAAGCTCCAGAGTGAGCTGGAAGTGCCGCTTGAGCAGCTTTATGCTGGCTGTGTGAAGAAGCTCAAGATCACGCGCAAAGTGCACGACCCAAGCTCGAACACTTTGCGTGAAGAGCAGAAGATTCTGGAGATAAACATTAAACCAGGATGGAAAGATGGTACGAAGGTGACGTTTGAGGGGCAGGGCGACGCGCTGCCTGGTCGACCAGCACAAGACATTGTGTTTGTGATCCGCCAGAAGCCGCACCCTAAGTTTGAACGAGACGGAGACAAGTTGCTGTACCGTGCCAAGGTGTCACTACGGGACGCGCTGCTGGGCAATGGCACTTTGAGCGTCAAGATGCTGGATGGACGTGAAGTGCCTGTTCCACTCGGTGGAGTGATTGCACCAGGCACGAAGCTGGTTATTGCTGGAGAAGGCATGCCGCTGCAGAAGAACCCGTCGCAGCGAGGCAATTTGGTGGTGGAGTTTGACGTGCAGTTTCCGACGCAGCTCACGGAAGCGCAGAAGAACTTGGTGCGTCAGGCGCTGTAGGTTTCCGCGTATTTGTTAGGTTGGTCAAGCCGTGTGAAGTGGTCATTTATTTTTGAAATAGAAAATCTGAAACGAAATCTGGAACGAATGTGTAGACGGCAATTTTGTCGGTGCTCAAAGATCAGTTTCGACAGCGTTATCAGTTTCCGAGACGTTCAAAGGACGTTGCAGGGCTGGCTAAATTAATACGTCGACATGCCACTCGTGTCCTCTCTTCCTCTTCAGCTCTCGCGCCCTTCTCTTTCACCTCAATTTCTCACCCTGTCCTATCTTAGGACTGAAGTAGCAGTAGCAGCACCTGTCCACGCTCGTTTCTGCGTCACCGAATCAGTGTACGAACTACGCCCGCCCGGCAGATATAGCGTACGTAAACTGAATCCACTCACTCCACCAGCCGACCACACACATACACGTCCTCCTCGTCCAATACAAACTGCAAGATCAAAGAAAATAAATTCGCCACCACGTCCGTCCATGCTCCTCCCCTCCCCTTCATCCTTCACGTCAACTTCCTCCTCCTCTCACATGGTCCCACGACGAATGTGCTGGTACAGAAGCCCCTCCGGTGTAAACTGCTGCGCCTTGGGCTCCGACGCCGCCGCCCAGTGGTGGATGTTAATGTCATCCTTCGTGCTCTTGGCGTCCTCCGCTGCCTTCTTCCTCTGCTGCTCCTTGACCTTTGCCAGCATCTCCCTCACGCCGTCGGCAACCGCATGGCCATTGCCTCGACACTCGAGCTTCAGCGCCTCCACCTTCAGCAGCAGCTGGTCCATCAACGCAACGTTCTCCTTGGCCAGTTTCCGCTCCATGCGGCGTCGCTCGCTGTTGAGCCCCGAGAGCTGTTTCTGCAGGCGGTTGACGAGAAACTCCTGCTCCTGCTCGAGCTCGTTCTCCAGATGCACCTTCTCGTGCAAGATCTTGGCCACCTGCGACTCGAGCGCGCGGCGCACGCTGTTGTTCTCCTGCTGGAGCTCCTCGAGCAGTCGCTCCTTTTCCGCGCGCGCCGCTTCCAGCTGCTTCGAGAGCCGGTTCACAATGTACTCCTGCTCGTGCTCGAGCTTGTTCTCGAGGTCCACCTTCTCCCTGCGCAGCTGGTTGAGCTTCTTCTGCAGGTTGTTGGTCAGCAGCTCCTCTTCGCGCTCGACCTCGAGCGCCAGCTGCTCCTTCTCGCTCTTGACGGCGTGCAGGCGCTTCATCAGGCGGTTCGTCAGTCGCTCCTCCTCGGCTTCCGTGGACTCGCCCAGGGCCACGAGCGAGGACCGCAGCGTCTTGACTTCCAGCTCCAGCGCGGCGGTTCGCTGGCGCTCGAGGACGAGCGCGTCGTCGTCGCTCATGGACGTGGCGGGACTCGGCGGCTGCATCGGGAGCTCTTGGTCGTTGGTTTGGTGGCGGTTGCGGAGTGCCTTATGACGGAAATACAGGATAGCGACGGAAGGAATAATGATAGATAGGTTTGGGTGTTGTTGTTCGTAGAGAGCGATCGATGGATGGATCGATCGATCGCACTTTCGAGAAGAAGGAAAGGGAGGGAGTTTGGTTTCCAGGTCGGGTGTGTTGTAGCTTCGTGGTCGGACTTGATCTCGCTTGTTTGAAAAAGCGTTTTACAGGTCTCGTTTGAATCGTCTGCTTTTTTTTGGAGTGGAGTGGAGTCTGTTTTTTTTTGAGACGTCGTCGAGTCTCTATTTGTCGCGTCGTCTGTTTTTTTTGAGACGTCGTCGAGTCTCTATTTGTCGCGTCGTTCTAAACGTATTCAGCGCTCTATTTTAGTGTTACAGCTATGGCGTCGTCGTCTCCTTGGGGCGCTTGGGGCTCGAAGCTGAATGTGACGTCGATCGTGTCCCAGGGGTTAGAGCAAGTCCGGAGTCTGCGCGAGGACATGGAAAAGTCGTTCGACCACGTCGTGACGGGCGTCCCGGGCCCTCGATCTGCAGTGCAGCTGCAAATAGAGGACAAGCAGGTCGCGAATAAGGTGGAGGTGGCGTCGTTGAATAAGGCGGATGTCGTATCGGATAACGTGGGTACGGTATCGGATACGGCAGACACCGTATCAGATACGGTGGATACGGCTATCGATGAGGCGGTTACCGTATCGAATACGATAGATACTGTCGTCGATACAGCAGCGGTTGCTGTGTCGGGAGATACTCTAATCGAGGCGTTCGACCCTAATGAGACGGTTGAGGAGAACTGTAACGCTAATATAGAGCAACAAGCACGACGCGAAGAAGATACGGAAATAGAGCAGCTCCTGGAACCAGACGATCGTGAAGAGCTGCAGCCAGGAGCTACTGCCGAAGTTGTGGACGAAGAAGAGGAGAAGCGAGACGAGGAATTCGGAGGAGAAGGACGGCAGCAGAAGCTGCAGGAGGAAGTCGAGCAGCTGAGAGAAGGAGAAGAAGAAGAAGAGGAAGAAGAGAAGGACCAAGAGGAGGAGGAGGAGGGGAAGAAGCTGAAGAAGAAGAAGAAGAAAAAGCAGAAGAAGAAGCGGAGGAAGAGAGAAGCAGCTCTTTGTACGACGGAAGAACCGAGTGGGGACGTGGTGATTGAGGAAAAAGCAGGAGGAGCTCGTGGGGAAGCTGCACAGGCAGAAGTGCTTGTTGCTGTGGTTGAGGACGTGGAAGAGGGGAGTGGAAATGTGGCGGGAGACGCAGAAGAGGCAGTTGTACGGGCAGAAGACGGTCGTGTTGCTGTCGCTGATAAGGAAGAGGAGATTGTGGATGATCTGCAGCAGCAAGTGGAGCTCAAAGCGCGCGAGTCGCAGTTGCTGGCTGCATCGACGACGATTCGGAACCTGCACGACGAGCTGGACGAAACGCGACGTCGTGAGGTCGTGGCCGTAGAGCGTGCGCAGTTGCTCACGGAGCAGCTGGAAAATTCACAGCAAGAAGTGGCCAAGCTGACGCAGATGTATCGGGATAGGCATGGCAGTAGCCAGCGTAATGACGTGCAGGTGCTGCAATTGGCATTGGCGGGCAAGGAGGAGAAGCTGAGTGCGTTGCTGGATGAAGGGCAGGCGTTGTCGGTGAAGCAAGCGCAGTTAGAGCAAAGATTACGCTTACTGCGTAAAGAGAAGGACGAGTTGGAGGAGCGAGCACTCAAGGCACAGTCGCAAGCTGAAGCCTCAGCTGGAGAAGTGCAGCGGCTAATGTCGAAGCTGAAGGCTAGCGAGAAGGAGACGACGTGTCTTGCACAGCGAAATCGTCAACTGACAAGCATTGCGGATACGGCAAGTGCTCGGATCGAAAAAGCCGAGCACGATGCGCTAGAAGCTACGCAGCAGCTAAAAAAGTTGCGAGCTCAGGTGGACGAGCTGACGCGCTCTGTAGCCGATAAAGATGAAGAAATTGTGAGACTTGCAATGTCTTCTCAGTCGAGTGAGTCTCTCCATCTCGAGAAAGCAGAGCTGGAACAGACCTTGCAGTTTCTGCAAGACAACGTGCGAGATCTGGAGGCAGAAGGAACTCGTCGTGAGGTAATGGCACGCGCAGAAATTACAGACTTGAAGCGAAAGTGGCAGGACGCTTTGGCTCGTGTGGATCTGCTAGGGCAGAGTGTATCGGAAGCCACGCAGCCGCTGCTTCGCCAAATTCATGCGTTGCAAGAGGACCAGCGTGCGAGGCAAGAAAGCTGGAAAGCGATGGAGACCACTTTTGTTGCTCGTATTGAGGAGGCTACGGAACAACGCCGTGCAGCGATGCAGGAGAGGGTTGAGATGGAAGAGCGACTGCACGAATTCCGAGAGAAGGTAGAAAAAGTAGAGCTGGAGCTGATACGAAAACAAGCTGAGCTTGTTCGTGCACAGGATACTGCTGCAAGTGCCAAGGCTGAAGCTCGTGCGTTGCATGGACAAGTTGATGCGCTGCAGATCGACTTGGACCAGGCCAAGCACCAGCGTGATGCAGAGGCAGGAGTGAAAGAACAACTGCAGACTCGATTGTTGGCTGCCGAGAAGTCGATAGAAACGGCGAGGGTATCATCCACAACGACACTTGAGCTAGAGCAGTCTCGTAAGCGCGAGGAACAACTTCGTCAAGACCTGGAGTGGCATCGTCAAGAGCTCCAACGATTGAAAAATGCAGCGATGCAAGCTGCTCCGGTGCCATTATCCATAGGCCACACGTCTTCACACCATCAGAATGTGAGGCGAAGTCTGGATGGCGAGCAGTCCTTTTGGTCTGAGAGCGCAGACGGTGAATCGTCATCTGAGGCGTCGATCCTCAAAATGGCATTGGCGACTGACCCGCTCACCCTGACCGGTGGTAACACGTCAGTGTTGGGACTCAGTCAGTTGCAGCAGCGACTACGTCTACGCGAAGGTGAAAACCGGATGTTGAAGCAGCAGCTGGAAACACTGGAGGCCCGTCAAAAGCAGACGACTGATGAGATCGTCCGGCTGAGTTCGCGCAATGCGCTATTAGAGAGCGGCGAGGCACAATTGGAGCAAACGCAATCAGAATTGGCGAAACTGCAGAAGCACCAAGTGGTGCTGCTTGAGCTGTTCGGAGAGAAAGAGGAGCAAGTAGAGGAGCTACAAGCGGAGGTGAAGGAGCTGAAGGCATTCTACCGAAAGCAGCTTAATACGTTGGCAACCCACAGTGAGCAACAGCAGAAGCAGCAACTGGACCAGTGACATCGTTAGCGCACACGGTGGACCATCGAAGTGCGAGCCTTATCGATTGCTCATCGTCAAGTGTTTTCCTGGTTGCCGATCTGTGAGCAATAATGGCAAAGTCTCGGCAGTTTCCACATTCCAGACACTCACGAGTTCACCTTGGCTGTGGCCGAGTGGCTCGACGAATTGAGTTTACGGGTGTCGGCACAATGATACTTCGAGATGCCTGCAACGGATACATCGGACTATCACTGAACTGACAAATCTACGTTGCCGCAGCAGCGCTTCAAGATTAATAAGTACATATATCGATCGATCTAGACGAATTCAGCGACGCGCTGCCTCATTTCTACTGCCGGCTGGCTGTCTATGATTCCGCCGCCTCTGGCGTCCAAAGCAGCAGTGGTGCCTGCTTTTTATTCCTCTTCCTCGCCATTCATCTCTTCCTCTCCCTCTTCGTCCATATCGGCATCGTCATCGTTATCTTCGTCTTCCGAAGTGAGGCCGTCATTTTCCGGCAGCTCACCCATGATGAGGTCGTATTCCGTGGTATCACCTGCAGCATGAGCGATAGGAGCTGCTTTGAAGATCAGGACGCGCTTGTGACCAGTTAGGCTGGAGCTGTACAGCCCCGATTCAGCTTCAGGAAGCTGTTCACGATAACAAGCGTTACGATCACATGCCACAACGTGAAGACAAACGGACGACCCCATCAACCTACCTGGGCAAGATCCATCTTCTTGAACCAGTCGGGCAGCTCAAATCTTGACTTGGACTTGGCGGGTGGCAGGCACGAAGGACTGTGTACGTACTTGCCAAGGTTCTGCAAGAACGTTCGAGCTACCATAAGGATGTCCGGTTCGCCACCCTTGCGAAAGAGACTGCGCTTGATCGCTAGCTTCGTGAGGAACTCTTCATAATGCCGGAAGACTGGAATTTGGAGTGTCTGCATCAAGTTCATGGCATCACCGCGCTCGATCACGCTCTTCACAACGGGTACAGGGTCTTCAACAAACACACCAGCAATGCCATGACGCATGATAACAGCTGACTCGTCGCTGTAGTCCGGATCCAGCGCTGGACAATCCACCAGCACAATCTTGTCACTATAACGTACTTCCTGCGCCGTCTTGGTTGACTGCGGACTGCTCGAGACATTGACGACCTGTTTACGCTTAAGCGAGTTGATAAGCGTGCTCTTGCCCACATTCGGGTACCCAATAACTGCCACGCGCGCAGGCTCATCGGTGCAATGGGCCAGTGCGTTGAGGAATGTCCGAAGTGGCTCCACGTCTCCATTGTCCCGCATGCCGCTGATCTCCTGCTGACGATCGTAGAGCGCCTTGTGGCCCTTCTCCTGCCTCGTCTTCTTCGAGCTGTCCGAGACTTTGGCGTTCAATGCCCGCACGGGGATCGTCGGGTGGAAGCGACGCAAGTACGCAACCCATTTCTGAGCCGTCTCGGATGAGATGAGGTCCACTTTGTTGAGCACAAGCACGATCTTCTTGTGTCCTTTGGCCACAAGACCGTCCTCCAGCGAGAGCGAGCGACAGCCTTGAGGATCCCGTGCGTCCAGTACAATCAGCACTACGTCTGCGGTTTGGACAGCATGTTTGAGGTCCTTCTTGGCCTGCAGCTCAACGCTCAACGGCGTCACGGACACCGCGGCATTGGCACTGCAGCGAGTCAGCTGAGCGCGTAGCTTGGCCTTCTTCTTGTCGTCTTTGCGCTGCTGCTGAGCCTGTCGCTGGGCATCAATCTCGGCGAGTCGCGCTTGCTCCACTTGCAGCAGCAGCTCCTCTTTGAACGGCCAGTTGTTGGGGATCCCCGGGTCTTTCTTCTTCTTCGTCGAGCCATGACCGTGTTTCGCGTCCGCTTTGCGCTCCTGGCGCTTGTGCTCGCGCACTTTGCGGGCGATTTTGTACTTCTTGTGCAGCGACAAGCGCTTGGATTTTCCCTTCTTTTTGACCATGAGATCGGCGGCAAGCGGCTCTTACTTAGTCACGGACGTACGAGTGTACGTAGAGACGGTCAATAAAACGTGACGAGCTCTTGTCTTGCAGGTGGTACTTGTCCACTCGGAACGTGGTTGGCACTTGAGCTGTAGTGGGAGCGGATGGGCTTGCGACGGATACTGCGGTCCAGTCGTTTGTGTACGATACGCTGATTCGTGTGGCAGAGGAGACCGTCGTCCACTTACTGACACCAAGTGTCTGTCCACTTACTGAGATCCAGTCATACAACGGTGGAAAACCTCGCGAGACTCCACCCGACGACTGACGATCATGCGGCTGCTGACCCACAACATGCTCGTGTGCCACGTCAAGGTGACTGCAGCGATCCGTGATAGCGACTGTGTTGTAGCTGTGCAATTGATGATGATTGTATGCGGTTTCTTGTTGTTGCTCTTTTTCCGTTGAAAGGCATGCGCGGACACAGCTGGACGCTCGATGGGCGATCGTCCACTCAACTTTCCACTAAGTGTACGCGGTTGTGGGGATCACTGGCTACGCCTGGTGGAAGGCAGTGGACATGAACTGTGTGTACTAACGACAATCATAATGACAGATCGTACCGGAGATGGACGGCATCGTGGTGCTTGAGACGCAGTACAGCAAGAAGTTCATGCTGCACATCATGCGCTCGATCGACTACTCGGCTCTGTGCTACACGACCAAGGAGGTACGTCGCAATACCGCTCAAGGTGCTCATTTGTGTACGTGGACCCCACTCATCTGGAGAGTGTATCTGCTGCTACTGGTGCTACAGTTGAACCACCCGGAGGTCCCGACCTTGCCAGAGCAAATTTCCATGGACGACTTGGCAGAGCAGGACGATCTGCTTCAGCTGATCCATCGCGTCCTCTTCGATGTAGGTTAAGGTGTTCCACGAGGCAGCAAAAAGCGACGTGAAAACGTTGTTGTCTTGCTGCTGAGTCGTTGGTCTGTCATAGTGTGGGCTGACTCGTGGTTTTGGTTTGGTCCATGCAGACGAATCTTGTAGAGGGCGAGCTGGTGTGTAGAAACTGTGGACGGAGCTACCCCGTTTCGAACGCTGTGCCTAATATGCTGCTGGAAGAGGATGAATTGTAAGCGCCAATGTGAATATTATGATTGTGATGAATGTATCGCGTGAGCTTCGTATTGCATGTATAGCTCAGCCACTGGTACGTCTTCAGCTCCATGTTTGTAGCTTCCCAAAAGGTTCGTATCGCACTGGTCGCAACGGTGATTGTGATCAACTTGCACAGCTTCCCGTACGAAAGCAATTTCCTTGTCGTACACACCAGTTGTAGCTATTGCCAACGCGGTGCGCTTACATCGCTTGTGAACTTCTCTGGTACCTCTCCTATAACGTCACCTTGCACGCTTACACAGTGAACTACGTGAGATCACCAAGTCACTGTACGGCTTGACTCGTGCCGATCGCAGAGCAAAACGCAAAAGCGCACTACAGCGGCAGGAAACTCAGCACCTGCAATACCGACAGCAACGGTAGCAACAACGAAGTTCTTTCGCTTATGCTGCCACCACTTTGCCATCCAGCACGAAATCTCTTGCATCTGCCCCGGGTCCTAGGTGACGCCGGCAACCACCTGATCCCATTACTCCATTACAAGAGCTACGATGTCCACTGCTTTCCCGGACATTACGACGTCGCAGGACATCTTAATCAGCGGACATAACCATACTAGTCTTCGCGCGAGGGTCGAACCCATGATCGGTGCGCCCTCGACAACAAAGACACGAGATTCTTGGCTGATTAAACATTCGTTACCATCCCAACCGCCGTCCGTTTCTCCGTCGACAAAGACAGTCCGGCCCTCAACCTTCCAGTTGCTCTTCGGCACCTGCAAGCAATGACAACTTCATACTAAATCATCTCAATGAGGCCACATTTGCATCAATACACTCCGCAAACCATCAAGAGCGAATGACACGGCAGCAGTAAGTGCTGAATGAGCTCACAACCAAGTTTCTTTACCTCACCTTATCTGGTTCGTGATGGAATGTGCACAATACCCGATGGAGCTCTAAAACTCGACGAAGTCGCATCCAGTGCTAAATCACCTCATCCTCTAACTCCCTAGGTCATCGTCAGGGGAGAACAACTCGTCACGTAACACTAGAGCCTCCTGTAGCATCTCTTCCAATGAAACAGTCGATTCTTCGGTCGGGGCTTCAGCGCGAATACCGCACACGCATTTGCGTTTTGCACGACGGCACTTCCGGCAAAATGGCTGATCTTCAGCTCTTTCCTCCTTTGCTACAATCTCAACGATTGCCTCGACCTCGGGTACAGGAGCTACATCCGTATCGACTGCAACATCGCTGTCGTCACGCAAGTCGTAAAACAATTGCAGCAGCTGGTGAACTTCTGACGCGTCAAGCTTGGTCAGAGACTTAACTTGCTCGCTACATGGGAACGTCGCATAAAGCATCAGTGTCTGCCAATCTGTTTTGCTGAGAATGTGAGACCAGCTAACTCACCTGCGCTCTCCATGCAATAGCTCCTTGGGTTTGACGTTGTAAACTACAAGTATCAAAATTGTCGCAATGCAAGTCCACTAGCGCAGAGGTAGTAAGTACAAGTCATGCTTACTAGTCTACAACAGACGACATACCTGATGTGCATTCCGAGTGTCAATGGCGTCACGAAGAGCAAACGTCTCCGTAATTCTGTCGATGCGGTGGTTGGCAAAACGATCGCTATCAAGTTTCAGCTTGACTGCAACTTGGGGCATCGGACGGCGTAGCATAAGTGAAAGCGAATTCCACCTCTCCGAACGAATTTGACGTGCTCGGCGGCGTGCAGCATCAACCTCAGCCTTGTCCAATCCTTCAGGTAAAAACTCTGTATCGTCAATGTCCCATTTCTTGGTAAGTACAGGCACGCCTGCAACTAAGAGTGTCGTTTCGTGGGTCACCCAACTAGACAGCAGTCCCCAGAGATGGCTAAACAATGGCAAATCGTTCAGAGTCACCACTTCGTTGTCATCAAAATCAGAAATCTCAAAGCTGCCAGCAGAAGACACATCTCTGGCGGCCAAATCGCTCTCATCGCTGTCGCTAACCACGATATCATTGTCCCCATCATCGCCATCATCTTCACCCTTTTCTTGACTCTTCTTGACAATCTTTTCCACCTTTTTCGCCAATTCCTGCTTGTGTGCTGGAAACACATAGCCTTCAATCAGCGTAGCCTGCTCTCTCGTTGGAAAGTTTCGATCCAGCGATAGCGGTGCTGCATTTTCCTTCAGTGTCGCCAAACCTCTACTTTTTTCCAATGCTGATAAAGCACCATCACCACCACTGATAACCGGCATCGACCGTCCGATCGAGTGCTTCCGTTCCACAACACCGAGGTCTTGTGTCTTGGCCCAAGCTAATCGAACCTTCGGCATTGGCTCGAGTTTCTCTACTCCCACTTCCTCGACATCATCACCAACCATTGCTTTGCTATTATTATCGCCGTCTTCGTCTTCATAGTCAAGTGGATTGGGCTTGTCCGTGCCGAATACTTCCAGCAACGATGGCACCAGCTGCGGCGGCTTGTGACTCAACTTCGACAGCAGCACTCGAGCTTTCTACAGGAGAATTTAGCAGAAAAACAATGCAAAATAGTCAACATTACACGCTTCAACACCAAGGATTATTGTTCTACGTCGGTCAAATTGACACTACAAAATAACACCTGCACCATAAATTTAATTCTGTATCATTTAGGAAATTTAGATTTGTATCGTACCTTGAGACACGCGAGTGAGCAGAATTGCCGCTCATAACGAGCATCATAAATCTCGTGGCGAGCCAACGAGACCCGAAACTTGCCGCTCGTGCTGCTCGGTATAGTCCAAACAAGACAAAATAGATCCGGCACAATGATTGGATAAAATTCACACAACGATTCGATAGAAATACGCCACGCACGTTGACAGCAGCTGCGCGCAGCCTGGGAACGCGCAGCGCTGGGCAGCCGCGCGCTCTTCGAAGACCTCCTCCATCTGTCGACGCTGCAGCAGCTTCTTGCATAGGTTCAGGTACCGCATGGACACGCGCGGGGCCAAAAGCGTCGCCATGAGCGCGAACGCCTCGTGGCTATTGGACCCCTGGATGCTGGTAGTCATGGGGATAGAAATGAATAAAAGCGTTTAAACGAGCAACGCGCGAGCTGGGGTTGTTCGTTTCTAATTGGAGTGAGTGGTAGTACGTTTTCGAGTCTGAGGCGATGGGTTTTGACAGAAAACAAGGACTACAAACGACAAGGAGTAGGTTTCTAGATTATGAAATGACATCTAGCCTTCGCATCGGACTGGACGCGTAACAACAGTTTACAAAACGGTTCAAAACACAGCAAACTAAATGTCTGCGTTACTGATCTATCTGTCTCCCACTTGACAGAAGTTGCTCTATCGAATCGATGTATCGTCGGCGACAACGTGGAAGTGTCTTGATTGATGTGATGACAAGCAAGTACGACATTAGGAGTATCTGATAAACAATGGAATGTCGAAACAACAGCCGTCTCGACAATGAGCGTGTGTTTACGTTGCCAAGTGCAGCGAGCACTCCATAACCCAATTGCCTAAACTTGCAAGATACATGACAAAGTCGCGTCCCTGTTACTCCTTTCGACATCACAGTGCGACCGTTCTCTTCATGCCTCACAAAAACCGGTTTCGGCAGTAAGACCCACTTCAAAAAAGCACACGCGTTGGGTCATGGTACCACCCGGCCGCGCATTTATCCCGTTTGTACCGGGCATAAATACCGGTACTCCTTGCTCTCTCCCAATACCGATCCGATCAAAAAACAACTGCATCAAAACATCCACATTGATGAACAGCCACACTTCAACATTGCCCAAAAAACGCTCTTTTTTCGGTCGTCGCACGAGCGAATCTTTCCACCACTTCAAGCACATACCAAACGCGCCAATCGACGTCGTTCCTTGCGCATCAATCCGTCACTTTATAAAAAGCGAATCCAGAGTCACAACCCTCGAATCCGCCTGCCGTCCACGTTCCATCCGACCAACGCCGCCCCCTCGTCCTCCGACGCCAGTACCATGTTCACTCGACGCTCCACGTCCTCATTACTCGCCGTCGTCAGTCGTCACCGCAGCTTCGCCTCCAAACGTACGTCCACATGTATCCACCTCTCTCTCTCTCTCTCCCCCTGACTCCATCCCATTTTCTAAAACTACTTTTTCTATCTTGTGCTTTTTCTATCCAGCCACTTACGAACACATCCAAACCGAAATCTGCGACAACGTTGCGCTCATCACGCTCCACCGTCCACACGCACTTAACGCGCTCTGCAACGCGCTCTTCCAAGAGCTCAACGGCGCCGCCCACGCCTTCGACGCCGACAACCGCATCGGCGCCATCGTCCTCACGGGCAGCGCCAAGGCGTTCGCAGCCGGCGCCGACATCAAGGAAATGGCGTCCAAGTCCTTTGTCGACGTCTACCGCAGCAACATGTTCGCCAACTGGGGCGACATCACGACCATTTCAAAGCCCGTGATCGCCGCAGTCAATGGCTACGCACTGGGCGGCGGCTGCGAGCTCGCGATGCTCTGCGACCTCATCATCGCCGGCGACACGGCCAAGTTCGGCCAGCCGGAGATCACGCTAGGTACGATTCCAGGCGGTGGCGGGACCCAGCGGCTGATTCGCGCGGTGGGCAAGTCCAAGGCCATGGACATGATTCTAACGGGCAAGATGATTGACGCCCAGCAAGCGGAGCGCGACGGGCTCGTGGCGCGCGTCGTGCCGGCTGAAGAGCTCCTGGATGAAGCGCTGAAGCTGGCGAAACAGATTGCTGGCTTCTCGCAGCCTGTGGTCAAGATGGCGAAAGAAGCGGTAAATGCCGCGTACGAGCAGTCGCTGCAGGAAGGCGTCAAGTACGAGAGCCGTCTCTTTTGGAGCTCGTTTGCGACCAAGGACCAGAAAGAAGGCATGGCGGCGTTCGTTGAGAAGCGCAAGGCCGAGTTCAAGCACGAGTAAGGAGCCGGGAAAACGGCAGTGGTCAGGAGGAGTGAGTGAGTATGAGCTCTTGAGCCGCTTTTTTGTGTAAGCTGAATGCATCGAGGCCAGATGAAAAAAAAAGTATTGAAGGTGTTGGTGCTGACGTTGTGGTTGTTGCCAACTGTTGATGGAGTCTCTATGATGTGGACAATGAATGGATGGCAGCAAGAAGCTGTTGCTTCCGCTGCCATACTGTCCGATGTCTCAAGTGTGGCACTGGATTCGGTCTACAATGATCGCTACCGATACAGACCTCACATGATCATACCTGGCTGCAACGATACCCTTCATCAGCATCTTTTCACGTACCTTTACTTTTTTTCGACGAGCTTCCTGATGGACCACTTCGTACAGCTGTCCCTGTCGTGCTGTTTGCCACGCCATGACAGCTGCTAGCATCGCCAGCGTCACGTTTCTTCTTCTTGGACGATACCGTGGTCGGCGATCGTCGCTGCAAGTGCTTACTATCACTCCCGCCATTGCTAGCCATGGCGTCTAGCACCCACTCGGGGATCGCTGTGCGCGTGACATGGTCGATCTGCATGTCCATCCCGCCGTGACGAGCTTCCCACTGATCAGTATAGAAAGCGAAATCACGGATCACGCTCGTTAGGTCGACACTGTGAGTTGCACTCGTAGTTGAGACTACTTCCGGAACAGAGAAGCGCAGTCCGATAAACAGCCAAGACGTGTAAACTCGCTGAGGTTTCGCCAAGCTGTCGAGATGGACGACGTCCTTCGTCTCGACAAAGTCGAAGAAACGACCGAACGGGTGGATCTGCAGTTCCGGAAGTGCTTCCAGTCTATCACATTGCAACGCGAATCAATCAACATGCGGAACAAGTGCCCGGATCAACGTCAGCCGTTCACGGGATTCCAGTCAGGAGTTACCGGTGACAGCCAGCTCATGATGGAGATCAAAGAACGAAGCAGTTGGCACTGGCGACACCGACAACGATCAGCATCACGTACCGAAGGAACAAGTGCCGCAATCTTGATTCGACCCATCCAAACCACCTGTCAATGTCTTCCGCACTCTGTGCCATTATCTGCACACGAAGAAAGTGTTTCGACCTACAAAGGCGAGAACAACTGAGTCATAAGACAAACTGCACCACCCATGCATGACAAGCATAAGCGCAAGACACAAAGAGAGGTCTAGCGGCGATATCTATCACATGGGAAGAAAACCTTTGGAAAAATGCTGGAGCTGCGAATAGTTTTGACCACGTCGACATCTGTGCACACCAGAATCAGCACCAGGAGCATGTGCAAATTCACGGTACCTACTTCTCCTCACCTTGGACTCAACCTCGAGTGTCCGATCCAACCCGTTTCCAAACTCTGTCTTGAGAATTCGAAGGGTCGATGCCATCACATTGTACGACGAATTTGACGCCGGGTAAGCTGGTGTGATGATTGGCATCAAGTACAGTCGGTCACGAACATTGAGCTTTGGATTCCATCCCTGCCGCATCAATTGGATACACGTGTCAGTTTACAGATCAATCGCACGAGATCACAGAGTAGTGCGGACACGTCAGCAATGAGCAAGACTCAAAAGCGTCACGTCCGTATCGAAACGACAAAAGAAGCAATTGCATCACCGAGAAGCCAAGATTCAGCGGATCGTTTACTCGAGCGAGCATGATCGGGTTCGGCCACGTCCACATCTGGTAGATCCTGAAGAAGCGCGAGAGTATGGACGCCGGCAGCGAGTTCGGGTAGAACTGGCAGATCCGGGCGACCAAGATGGCCCAATTGACACCACCAAGAAACCCCAGCACGTTTGAGTAGATCCCCTGCATCTGCACACCACGAATTGCCACACAGCGCCGTATTCGTTACTCTCGGACACAACAGAACGATGAGCCACGCTGGCTTCGACATCGTACCCGAGCCCAATGCTTGACAGCGATCAACGTCGTCCGGAACGTATCCGGATTCGGCACAAGCTGCAAAATGCGCTCAGTCACGCGCACACCATTGCAGCTCCGAACTGAAGCTTCGTCCAGTCCTTTGAGATACTGATCATCCAACATGTCGATATCCTCCGGGATCGAGTCCAGATCCAGCGACACAAAGAGAAGGTCCACAGAAATGCCGTCCACCTTCATCTTGATCACTGGCACGAACCTGCAGCAACAGCCACCACACATGGAAAGTCAACTGACCAGTGGATCTCCATTTCTCGATCCCTCTTTTCGGATGCGACGTACGCGTCGCTAATCACGTGCAAACCCGTGACATCAGGTGCTGCTTCCAGTAGAATTGGCACCTTCACAAAAAAGCTCGCCCGTGTACAGTATCTCGGCGCGATGCACAGTCTAGACATAACAACAGCACAAGAATTAGCTCTCTCTATCTCCCGCTCTATCCCTCGCTCTATCCCTCGCTCTATAACAGCAGGTTACGTGTCAATATCGGCCTCTCGACTCTGGACGCCAAGACGGTAGGAGCCGAAAGTGCGCAACTGCAGCTGCTTCTGCCCCGTCTCCTCCTCGTGTAGTGCATATTCAAGCAGCACTTGGTGCAGTCTTTCGAGTACGCGCTCGCGTCGCATCAGACGCTCTTTTGGCTCATATAGACCACATAACCTAAGGTCAAATGGGTACATTCACACATCCGTACCCACCACCACCAATCAATTGGTCAGTCAACCCATCGATCAGTCAAGCTATACAAGCGAATGAGAGAGCCTGAAAGTACTTGACGCACTGTAGCGTCTGCAGGAGCTCGTCATTGAGGCGCTTGTCGCTGTCCGAAGGGTCCGCAGTCGACAGCGGCGTCGTCATATGTTCGTGTTTAGAGTCGCTATGATGAGACTCTATCAATGACGGATAGAGTCAGATATAACGCAGGATTTGGTTCAGTCGCGTGACGGGAGAGAGAGAGAGACTTTAGATGAACATTAATTCATGGAGACCGTGACGAACCGATCCAACCTTGATGGAGTCTAGTTGAAATTTAAGAAAGGATCGGATCTAAAACCGGTTCAAGTTTATATGAATCGCCTGTATACTAGCACTGTCATGACTTCAGAGAGGTGATCGGAAGTTAGATGAAATGGCCAAGTCATTATGGTACCTGCACTATTTAGTTGCGGAGACGCCCCTTCGCTGGAAACCGATGAGTGGACGTTTACTTGTGATCGAAACAGTGTCGATCACGAGTCTAGTGAGGAGGCATTACAAAGTAACAGTAACCACAATCGGGAGATCTCGCAAGTGGTAGGCGAACACACATCCGCCAGCACAGCTCCTTTGGTACCTGAACATCTTGCCGTCTTCACTGCAAGATAGTGTAGCTCCCTGTTCTTGTCTTAATTGTACACGACAATCAGCCACAGCAATGTCAACGCTGAGCTTTTACACGATCCAATGGAAAACGAATGCCGAACCGTTCCGACCTGTGCTCTTTTTCCGGGTAGAATCGAACATCAGGGATAGCGATGCTGTGGATACCCACATCATCATCTCATCTGTGAGTCCTTAGCCTGTCCGATGCCTCACAAAGAAACGTTTGGACATACTCGTCGACCATTTTGCCAACTCAAGGCTGAGAGATCATAGAGGGGGTCATCTTACACAGTCTTCGTCATGTGATCCATCACGACCTCTTGCGATATTCTCGTCACTTCCCTCCCCTGCGAAGCTACAATCTTCACAGGAATCTCAACGTGCACGTTCGGGCTTAGAAGAAAGCTGCACCGAATTTCAATGTGGTGACTCGTTTTGACGATACTAGAGGCCACTGGAGGACGAACAGCGTATCGCTCCGACCGTCCGATCAGATCGAGCGAATACGTTTGGTCGGTCAAAGTCGCTCCAGCCTTTACTCCATGGTAATTCTTCTTAACGAGACAAGTCTGAGCCTTGATCTCCCCACGGTCATTGTTTGCACGTATCACAAGCGTCTCGTTGAGACGCACCGACACGGACTTCACGTCCAGATTCGAGCCGTTGGTCACGGACACTCGAATTTGTAGCGACTCATTAACAACGCAGACGTCGCTATCAAGGGTCCCCGAGATCTCGCAGTATCCTTGACGAATGATCCCGCAAAGCTTTGCGTGCTGGACAGTGGCTTCTGTGCGAGGTTGAATGAACTGTGCGGTCTGAGTGACATTGACAAAAAGCGGCTGCTTCGCCTTTATGTCAGCTGTAAGAACACCTTTCAGAGGCACCCGCAGTCGAAGCTCGTACTTGACTGCAGCCTCGATGTCGCAGATATCCGGAGTACAGCGGTGGTCAATGTGGAAAGTGCCCGGTAGAGTCGAACGAAGTTGGTAGCGGAAAGGGAAGTCGTACTCCCCGACTGCCAAAGATGTACAGCTTTCTTCAAAGAGCATCACTTGGTCGGCCATGAGCTGGTTCTCATACTTGCGAGGCACGACCATTTCGCCGTGCATCTCGTTAAACTTGACGTACTCTTCGCCATACACCACTAGAACCAACGCTGTTGCCAAGAAATCATAACAACAACAACAAAACGGTTGGCAAAGCGACCACGAAACTTTGACATGAAGTAGCACCTCACCTCCCTTGATCTTGACATCGACAGAAACGGACAGGGACACTCTACCAGTAACGATATCTCCAGGTTCGTAGCTTGCACGGTCGAGCTCGAAACGCAAGCTGCCTTTTGAGCCAATACCCAAAGCTCTCGACAGTTGGTCCATCGTCAATCGATTGTATCCTGGACGATCGAGTGCCGGAGAAAAAGACAAATTGAGTGCGTGATGATCTGTGCGACGGTCGGATACGTCGGTGGTATATTATGGGACGCCTGATTTTTTCTATCGGAGATTCCACCTTGCTGGACGAGGCAGGCAGACGAAGGTGTCAAGTGTTTGCAAGATAGAGCACACCTCGTGTAGCTGGTGATGCTATTCAGGGTTGTTGTAAAATACATGTATCTGATGCAAGACGTCGGCTCAATCTCGTGTCGGGACTTTTCTCATACTGAAGCTGCAGATACTAAAAGATACGTTCCGGTCGTCGAGGGCACCCCATGGTGGAATGCAGCTGAGGAACATAGCACCTAAGTTGCCAAAGCTATAGCGGTAGAAGTGCTAGATTTGCCGACTGCTGTGGAGTTCGGCTTGTTTGGTTCAGATTGTCCACTTACGAGTTATTATGCTCACCATAGCTGAAGATACTCAACGATGCTCTTGTTTCGCTATCGCCTTGAGGTGATAGACGGGAGAAGTCCAGAAGTGAGTGTACATCTGCGAATCTGAGTGAGAAGGTGAGGTATCTTCATGTACGCTAGCGACCCATGATTTCCTGCCGCCTGATAACAGTTTTACCAACGAGACGTCTACTTCACAGGCCAGGTAGTTCTAGTCCGCAGACAGCCGTGGCCCTTCGCGCTGAGTCTCTCCGTAAGAATATTAGGTTTGTCGGAGTCAACGCGGGGCCTGTAGTTCGTAAAGTTCTGCTTGTGATACCTCTAGCCAGTGGTTGACATCATTGTCAAGGAATGCCGTAGCTTCCAAAACAACCCTGTGCTCCATAAAAGGATTGACTTGAATTGAGTTGGTTGTACACATCGCGATCTCTGCTAGTCGATCAGCATTTTGTTGTAGACGCGATAGTGATGGCCCAGCTGGAGACTTGGAGATCGTCCGCAAGGGCACGTGCCTCCCAAAATAGCGGCACCAAGCTGGCCTTATGCGGGGGGGGGGGGGGTGATGAGTACGAAGCTGCGAGAGCACGAAGCACTATCTCCAACGACATGCAGCGGGGCGTAGCCATACACATTCGCGTAACGCAGCCCGTGCACAAGCCCCCATTGTTCAGCTGTAGTTTTCGTGGTATCGAAAGCGCTATACGTCATGCTCGAAACAAACATAATGCAAGCGGCGTGCGTCGCAATGTTAAGTTGGACAATAACGGACCCAGATCCGCCTGGTCCTCGGTTTCTCAAGATCCACCGTCAGTGAATATCACGAATAACATTGTGGGTATCGGCGAATGGGCAAACTTGCATCGCTGGTGGCTCGTCGACGCAGAGGATAATGTTTGCGAAAGATGACCCCACTCGTTGGAACAGATCTCCGTCTCTGTTCATGTCCGGCTGGTATACCGACCCTCCAAATCGGGTTATCGCACGTCTATAAATTGTGTCTTGGCTCGGGCAATGTGTGTCTCCTCCATCAAGAACGGGTCGTACATATGGCGGAGCTGCTCAAACCAGATAACATGAAGTGTCGTGGAGATGGCAAAACTCCAGCGTTCCCGAACGGCCGGGAGTACCACGTCCTCCGCCGCCGTCATCTTAACGGCTTGAGCGAAGTTTGCTTGAATTCATCCCACGCCTTGTGCGGGACCTCTAGAAGGTCAAGCCCAAACGCCCATACCTTGAAGTCCGTCATGTTGAATACTACAAGCGGACTACACTTGACAAGGATATGCTCCCAGTGTCGACACGCACTGGAGACAATCTGAAACAAGTGTCGCGCCGCGGAAGGAAGGGTACCAGAACACCCAGGCACGAGCCACGTCAGATCCTGGCTTTCCCAGTTTCATAGCGGATAGCTGTTGCTTTAAAAGCGATACAACGTTTGCGTATCTATTGGAATAGAAGCTCGCACCCGGCATGTGTCTCTTCAAGCAATTAGTGATGTCCCGTCAGAAATTACTTGAAAGTCCCTCTTTGCCACTCGCACGTCGATAATTTGTTTTCCTTACAAGAGCCATCGTTTGGAGATAATAGCCTGCTTGATTTTGCGTCGAAGCGGTCGCCGCCGTCGTCGTCCTGTTCAGATATGGACGACGCGAGTGAGAGCCGAGTGAGCTCTAAAGTGTATGGTATTTCCCACTTCTCGACACGTCGCTATATCACATGAGGACATCGACGAGACTGGTGTCACATCACACTCCATGATCGTATCGAGATACTTCAGTAACTTCAGTTCACCGCTCGGTGTCCAATCATGATGTTGGTGGACCTCGGTTGAGTACGCAAGTAAGCAACCGAGGTCAATTGCACGAAACATGAATGCTGGAAAGTTGTAGAGAACGGCGAGGCAGATTGAGACAAAGTGGTGTCTTTTGGCCACTGATTGAGTTGCCATGACGAGCCGCGCCGGGAACTGTACGATTTCACATTGGCAAAGCGTCCAAGGCATTGCTTCGCTCAGGTTGATCTTTCCTCTTGCAAAATCCACCCCAGTCAGATTACTGACCTTCCCCTCGGCGGTCCCGCAGCCATAACGTATCCGTCAACGTTGCGTGTTTCATCCTCCGGTGGTTAAAACTTCCCAATTTTGCCACTTTAGCTCGCATGCCGACACGGAGATAGACATCAATCACCCTCCATACATCAATTGCAACACTTCCGTCGGTGTTATAGACAACCTCAGCTCGTAAGTATATTAGATGGCCCTTCGACAGACTTCCACGACGTCACCTTGGCGCACATGTCGAGCCGCCAAATCCGATAACTTCGGAACCGGTTTGCTTAAGAGTCTAATGATATCTTACGCTTGTCTTCATTTCAACAAGGCTTTATGTATGGTGGGATAGACCCAATGGGGCATCTTAAAAAGTCCCCGATCAAAAATATTTCCAAGGCGCTGTATCTAATCATTGTCTAATCGCCGTTGTCGCCATAGTCATCAATCATGGTCAAATACACGGCACAGCAAGCTTTTCTGATGGATTAGGAGTGAGACCACCTCGGAATGGGACCCAAGGTCTGGACCTCTAACCCTCTCAGGCACCCCAAACAAAGTCCTGAATCATGCTCTTCAGCATGATCACAAAGTATGGAAGAGGCCAGCAGTGTCGTTCTGGGAAGGTGATCTTGGTCACCGCAATGGCACTGGCAAGGCGAGCCCGTTGTTCCACCGTACGGGTCTTCTCTCTGGCTCGCACAAGCCTGCTATCAATAGATCGTATGCCTTCATTTCAGTTGTCTGCCACCTCATCCTGTTGGTCCACCAGCACACCCACATGTCGGTAGGATTCGCATGAAATCAGCAGAGTAAGACCACAAGTAATCAGAGGCTATGCTGAACCTTGAGGATCCAGAGCAATGATCATTGACTTCGCGCAGTTCTTTACCAGGCCTGAATAGCTAGCGGAGTCATCAAGAATTGCGACAACTTGAAAAATCGCAGCCCGATCGTGTAGGTAGACGACTGTATCATCAGCGTATCCGAGCCACTAGATTCAGTGCACCGCTCGCCAAATGCAAGCTTTACCCACAAATTTCCGATATCTCTTGGATTACTCGATAAACACTAATCGAGGGTGAGATTAATAAGAGTGGCGCACGTGGGCAACCCTACCATTTCCACGGTTAACTTCCCGTCGATGTGAGTGATATCCATTCACATCAAATCGACAAGTGGTGCCGTGTTGTGTTGCCGCCACTACCGAGACAAAAAAAACGAAAACTTAAGTTCTGTCAAAGTGTAAAGTAGGTAAGGACGTGCAGCGTGTCGTAAGCCTTAGTAAAATCGAGCAGCAAGACAATGTCTCCGTGCATATTGCTGTCTGCCCTCGCCGCGTTGCGCATCGACTTGAAAATGTACACGGATGTGTAGATCGAACACATTGGGACGAATCCAACTCGGGCTGGCAAAACTATGTACGAGAGTTGGCCGCACGAGAAACAACTGAAGCGTGATAAATAGTTTGTAGTCGCTGTTAAGTAGCGTAATTGGACGTTGATCCAGGGGTACTGCAAACACCAATGTTTTCTTCAGACACTGGATGTGCGCATTCTCAAATGACTCTAGCAGCACTCCGCACCCCATCCATCGAGTGTACAGTGCGGCTAAGATAGTTGCAAACCCGATTACGTGGTCTCGATAGGAAAAGTTGTTTAGTTCGTCCGGTGCTGCACCCTTCCAATGTTTAATTCTCTTCAAGATTACGCTAAAATCTTCAGTTGATATTCGAGACGTAACGGTTTAATCATCAAGTGGTTCCGGCCGGGATGCTCGAGCCAGATAAGTGGCTGTTTCCTCGCAAAGGTCTAAAAAAAGTAGTCAAAATCTTTTTACAGCCATCAACCATTTCATCAGCAAGTTCATGTGACCGATTTGACTCAAACTTGGCGCTGCCACCCAGACACACTGTAGTGTTGTCCTGAAAGTTAGTCACCACGCGGGCGTAGGAGCGTCGTGATGCCTCTCTCGAAGAGTAAGTGTGCTGCACCAACAGTCGCTCCTTCTTGGTCATCTGCCATAAACGACGACACTCCGAGGCATCTTTGCCAAGTTCCTTCGGAGTATCGACCGGCCAGGGTGATTAAATCCCTATCAAGCATTCAACGGAGATTCATCATATAAACGCGCCTGCAAGAGCGCTGCCAGTCGAACATCTAAAGGATCTAGCCTCTGACTGTACCTTTACGTCAAACATTGACGTGCTTTCATGGTGGTAGCCAATGTCGAATTGACGAAGTCTGATCTTCCATTTATCCCACCAGTCGGCAAGCATGCGGGCCGTCAGAATGTCTATGGTTTAGACCGAAGAGATTCCATCCATTTGACACTAAGCCATGGCAATCGCGGCAGTTATCTTGCTGATTGTGGCTACTTGGGTGCATCCAGGAACAGTATATACGCGCCATGGATTTCAATTGCGCACAACATGATGCGGCGTCCCGATCCTGACCCGTATCCCATTGTGATCAGCCGCAGGAACGGATACTGAACTGTCGACGTGTCAAATTTAGTCTAGTGTCTGGCAGTGAAATACCACTGATAGAGACGTAAACTGTTCGAGCCACCACATGGCACAGTGTAAAGAAAATGTGTGCTGCCGCATTGAAGCTCGCAATGGCCCGGTCATTTTCGATCTCTCCATCTTTTTACATTAGAATTGCCAAGGTGCCTCCGTCCAAGAATCCTGCTCAGCGTTAAAGTATCATGTCTGCCATGTAGAGAGACAAAAGAATGGTCAAGTTGTGGCACTTGTGTGCTTTTGAAGCCCCACCCATTAACATTGTTCTAACGTAGTACTGAAGGTTATCTTGAAGCATCTCAGAAAGCGTTTCTTGTTTTGTCTTCGCGCTCGGAGCATAAAAGTCGACCACAATGAGTATGTTCTCCCATGAGTAAAATGTGAACAGTCATTTAGTAGAGCGTCAATTGGTCCTTTTTCAAAGCATTCATAGCATTAATGTAAGAGTACAGTCTCAATAGAATTGCCACTTTTCCCCGCCAATGACCGGACTCTGTTCACTTCGTGCAGTCAATTTTGGTTACAAGTACCCAGGTCTTGCTATAAAAGTAATTCAGGATGCTGTCTCCCCAATACAAATTCTGATTTCTTTTAACAGAACCAGATTAACGAATCCCTTACCCTCGCGCTTCCAAAATGGCTGAACCAGTCTGAGCAGCGTTCCGGAACCTTGGAAAATCTCGCTTCATTCTGACAGTGGGGAAGATACTGTTTCCGCGAGGCTTCCACGGGTTCTTCGAAATAAGACGACAGTATCGCCGGGGGTTATCTCTGGATCAGACAACCTATCTAACAGCCGAGGTGTTGGAAGTGCATGATGCACTGGTTTCGACTCCAGAGATTCGACCCATGATAGGGTATGTTTAGAATGTTCGTTAGGGTTCTATGCATTATTATAGGTCGTACGGCAGCTAGATGTATGGATAGTTCTCACTTGTAGATTGACAAACCACTGATGAGGCCCCCGGCGGGGGGCCGAAACGCGTCTGGTGCGCGGTAATATACAAGTCATTTACTTTACTTAACTCTTACTTTTAACAGGTTATGAGCCCAAGTGCTCGCTGCAGACACCTCACCAAGGACCAATTTGTGCGAGGGACACCCCGCCAGAGAAGGCGCTCGATGCACAAGTAAGGCGCCGAAGAATTCATCGACGGGGATCGTTGACGGTGCGCGTGCAGTCGAAAAGGGTTTGTGCAAGGGTGGTGACGCGAGATGGTCTGAATGCGCGAGTGCTATCGAAGGAAGAGTCAAGTCAAGTGGTGACAAGTGTATTTGTGGTCAAGAAGAAGCGGAAACTACATGCAAGGCGAACGACGACTACGAGATGTCAAGATGTGACATGGTGCTGGACGATGGGGGAGCTGGAATACCTGGAACGCTCGGTATCATCGAGGTTGGCTGGAGCGCAGGGGCAAGACTCAATCAAGATTCCCATGTTGCATGGATGCAGCAGTGAGGATTACAGGCGGGTCGATACCCAAGTGGTCGGCATCTCATGTCGTCGAGGGGGAGTGTTGGAAGTGCAAGATGCACTGGTTTCGACTCCAGAGATTCGACCCATGATAGGGTATGTTTAGAATGTTCGTTAGGGTTCTATGCATTATTATAGGTCGTACGGCAGCTAGATGTATGGATAGTTATCACTTGTAAATTGACAAGCCACTAATGAGGCCCCCGGCGGGCGGCCGAAACGCGTCTGGTGCGCGGTAATATACAAGTCATTTACTTTACTTAACTCTTACTTTTAACAGGTTATGAGCCCAAGTGCTCGCTGCAGACACCTCACCAAGGACCAACTTGTGCGAGGGATACCCCGTCATAGAAGGCGCTCGATGCACGAGTAAGGCGCCGAAGAATTCATCGACAGGGATCGTTGACGGTGCGAGTGCAGTCGAAAAGGGTGTGTGCAAGGGTGGTGACGCGAGATGGTCTGAATGCGCGAGTGCTATCGAAGGAAGAGTCAAGTCAAGTGGTGACAAGTGTATTTGTGGTCAAGAAGAAGTGGAAACTACATGCAAGGCGAACGACGACTACGAGATGTCAAGATGTGACATGGTGCTGGACGATGGGGGAGCTGGAATACCTGGAACGCTCGGTATCATCGAGGTTGGCTGGAGCGCAGGGGAAAGACTCAATCAAGATTCCCATGGAGCACGGATGTAGCAGTGAGGATTACAGGCGGGTCGATACCCAAGTGGTCGGCATCTCATGTCGTCGAGGGGGAGTGTTGGAAGTGCATGATGCACTGGTTTCGACTCCAGAGATTCGACCCATGATAGGGTATGTTTAGAATGTTCGTTAGGGTTCTATGCATTATTATAGGTCGTACGGCAGCTAGATTTATGGATAGTTCTCACTTGTAGATTGACAAACCACTGATGAGGCCCCCGGCGGGGGGCCGAAACGCGTCTGGTGCGCGGTAATATACAAGTCATTTACTTTACTTAACTCTTACTTTTAACAGGTTATGAGCCCAAGTGCTCGCTGCAGACACCTCACCAAGGACCAACTTGTGCGAGGGATACCCCGTCATAGAAGGCGCTCGATGCACGAGTAAGGCGCCGAAGAATTCATCGACAGGGATCGTTGACGGTGCGAGTGCAGTCGAAAAGGGTGTGTGCAAGGGTGGTGACGCGAGATGGTCTGAATGCGCGAGTGCTATCGAAGGAAGAGTCAAGTCAAGTGGTGACAAGTGTATTTGTGGTCAAGAAGAAGTGGAAACTACATGCAAGGCGAACGACGACTACGAGATGTCAAGATGTGACATGGTGCTGGACGATGGGGGAGCTGGAATACCTGGAACGCTCGGTATCATCGAGGTTGGCTGGAGCGCAGGGGCAAGACTCAATCAAGATTCCCATGTTGCATGGATGCAGCAGTGAGGATTACAGGCGGGTCGATACCCAAGTGGTCGGCATCTCATGTCGTCGAGGGGGAGTGTTGGAAGTGCATGATGCACTGGTTTCGACTCCAGAGATTCGACCCATGATAGGGTATGTTTAGAATGTTCGTTAGGGTTCTATGCATTATTATAGGTCGTACGGCAGCTAGATGTATGGATAGTTCTCACTTGTAGATTGACAAACCACTGATGAGGCCCCCGGCGGGGGGCCGAAACGCGTCTGGTGCGCGGTAATATACAAGTCATTTACTTTACTTAACTCTTACTTTTAACACGAGGTAACCTGAGTAGTGAGAGTCCGGCAATGGATTATCGCAGGCAATAAGGTCATTCGCTATCTGCCGGTCAAAAGATTTGCGGAGGATGCTATAATACCAAACGCATTTCGGTGGAGGCGTCGTATAGTACGGCTTTAAACTGTGGAATTACCACCTTCGTCTCAGTTTCGAAATGCACAAGCTTGGGTGGTAACATAAATAGGACATTGAGGACTCTTCAGTGTTTCAATTCCGAAAGCGGTTCCACGACAGCTGCTCACAGCAACTCCGACTGTAATTTGATGAATTTTCTACAGCGCTGTATGTTTTACGTCGTTTTCTATTGAATTTGACCAGACTGAATAATAGACATTGCATCGAAATCGTGCACAACTCAGAAACCTCCCATAAGCATGTGTGGTATGTAGGCAGATCACAGCCGGTTGGGATTCGCTATTAGTGAAATATTTGAAGGCACGAATGCTTTCTCCCGTCATCGGGTTGAGGTAAGCCACTGGCCACGGTAGCTCACAAAAAGTGCCGCTACTTTTAACGCACAAGAATGAATTCATGCGTATCTTCCTTTTGGTCCATCGGCATTGTGGCAGGCACCGCGGTAGCAACTTTGCGCCGGTTAACCTATTTACGAATTACCGCTGTGCTTGCAGCAATTTTATTGGTGCTCTCCGGCAGAGCTGCAACCGCCACTGCAGCTGAGACGAAGTCTGAAACCTTGCGCACTCGCATTGCACGTACGGTCTGATCGTGAAGATTTTTAAGGGCGATAACGATCCATCAGAGATCGATTCGCCATCTATGTTCATGTTTCCTCGTACGTGCCATTGGAACGTGTCACCAGGTGGTATTTACCCATTTCTGGTACAAGTATGTTGCGTGAGGATGCCTTGGGCTTGCCTTAGATAGCCTGATTTATCTCCGCTGGTAAACTAACACTGGCTGGCAGGGTCAAGAAGCTACAGCCCCTTCACCCAGATTGTCCATGCGCATGGTATTGTCAAACGTGAAGGTGCTGTCAGCCATAGTCGCAGCTAGATCATGGGATCCAGTGTTTCGCTGTTCATAGAACCTGTCGGGTGCATGTCTCGAGGAGCCGAATGTTGTGGTCCAGCTAAAGATGACACCGCACAAGGTGCCGCCTTGAAGGCACACTCATTATGCCCCGTTTGCGGTGGACGTGAGACGAAAAAAATCGATAGGTCATCGAGAGACTTCGATCTCTTATCTTTTCCGCCGTCATGGCAGGCATGTCTCTTGACGGCAGCAAAATGATCTCGACCGCCACCTCGATCTTAGGCTTCTCTTTTGATTTAATATTGGTCAAGCGACTCTTCAATTTCTGAAGATTACTCGTTGGACTCTCTGCTCTTTCTCCGCCCAAGTAGCTGCTGCACCAGCTTACGAAATTTGTACTATTACGTAGGCAAGACATCATTCGCATCGTGGATAGTAGTGAGTAGATCCGTTCCGTCAGCATCACGAGCAAAATCCATTTCTAGCACATGTGCGTGAGTCTCGAAGTAGTGAGCTTTCTTGTTATCGACATCTGTCTTCGACACCGCTGTCGTAGAAGTCAGTAAATAGCTTTCGAGTTGGGCGTCGCCACTTGCGTTGTAGCCCCCGCCCAATCATTAGCCTTGGTCGACAGCCTTGATGTCGTTGGTTCTGCCACAGTTTCCGGTGTCTGATCTGCTATGAAATCTTCACGATCGCCTCTAATCAGTTGGTTTATGGAAGCCTTAACAACAACTCCAGCTATTGTTAAGGTTCAATCGCAGGTGCTCTACCATTCGAAGACACCGTTGCCTGAGTCAATGACGGCAACTACTTGGGCGATGTTGGCCAATATCGTCGAGCTCTGCTTGGTAGAGGTCGCTGACCCCTGAATCGGTGACTTGATGGCCCCCTCTTCTTCTTTCTTTTTTTAGGTCATCAGAGCGCAGGAACAGTAGGGGTCGCCGCGCGACTAGATGAAGTCGCAGTAAAACGCGAGCCCCGCTTTTTCTTGTTATCACCTAGGTCAAATCACTCGTCGGTAGAAGGACCAGCGGCTCGCGTGTCCCCGCCACCCACTATAGGGGGAATATTTAGAGGGGAGGCTAAGCCACCGGACGATGGACGATTCCGCAAACAATTTCCGAGAAATTCTGGTCAACAAGGGATCCTCGAATCATTCCACCTGCAGTATCGCCTCATTCGCCTCAAGGGAATCAGTTAAGCCAGTGACATGCTGTAAGCGTCCTGACACGTCCAGGTGGTTAAGTATAAACCCACTTCAGTGGCGAGCCGCGTTGGGCAAACCGGTTAACGCGCAGTGATACTCAAGGTGAGAGTCGCCTTGTCGCCTCAAGCTATTGGTACTCAAATGATAAGGCGAGTAACAGGAAAAAAGCAGGGAACTCGTTAAAAGTGCCGAACGTGGTAAAGGAACTGTACCGTGTCGGAAGTTGAGATTTGCGTAACCAGCCTGAGTTATTCGGGACAGAAGCCAGAGACGAATGTGGCCACCAAAATGCTGGAGTCATAATCGTCCGTGTCGTGAGAACACCCATGCGTCACCGATGTGGCCGCGCACGACACACCTGACACCAGAATGGATAAAACGGTGCTAGCTGACACTCTATTCACGACAACACGGACTTGGTAGTGTAGCAAGTTTCCATCAGCTAGCGTATCTGTGGCTGTGGCAGAAGTGACGTCCTCCCTCTCCATGATAGCAGAACACGGAAGCCGAAGACGCTTTTCGTGGACCAATAGCTACTTGGCGTGCCAGATCCCGGCCGCTGCTTATTCGGCATGATAAACATCAACCGCTGCGTGTCTGCGTCATTACTGGTCCTCTTGGCGCCCTTAAAGATTTCCCAAGTTAGATCGTCAATCTCCGTGTTCCCCTCCCGGTGCTCCAAAAGCTGGAGAAGTGTAGTCTTTTCAGCAATGTGCTGAGGCATTTGCACGTAAGGAGGCACAAATGCTACCACCTGTCTATTAAATACTTCAAAAACCCAGCATTACCACCCGGGTTCTTGCGGATGTGTATACACCAGGAAACGGGGAAAGACGGTAAAACGATGGATCTCATCACCTAGGCCGCCAGCGCTTCTTCCTCTAGATAAATCAGCGTTTGTAAGTCATTTATATCTTACACTCCACTCCCTAGTGAGAGTGCGAACCAGCAGAGCACCGCAAACTAAGAGTACCTCTATTTTAAAGCTGCAGAGGCATTGCAGTCCTTATTGTCACCACGGTCGCCCGGACCGTGTCCACTGCCGGAGCCGTTGCTTTTGCTGGGATTGTTGGTCCCGCCGGGACCGGTAGGATCGACGGGGTATTTTCGATCACTGAGATCGGTAAGAACGCCTAAATCATTTTTATAGATGAGTCTCGTAGTAACGCCGGGATCGTTTCTATCGCCGGGTCCTGTAGGAACGTGTCGGTTGTTCGAATTGCTGAAACCGGTGGAAACGCCGGAGCCGTTACTATCGCCGACCCCCAAAAAAACTTCGCGTTCAATTTTATCGCCGATTCCGGTAGGTACGCCGAGTCCATTAGGTACGCCAGGGTCGACACTTTCGTTTGGTTCGTAGAGCTGGACGAAGTCCGTGATCGTGGCAGCGAAAGTAAACCGAATAGCTGGCGGGTCAGGAACAAGCACGTGTGTCAACTGCACGTGTGCACCTGTAATTCCAGATAGTAGAAGAACATCGCCTTGCATCTCACCGCTGCTGACAGTATCCATCGGACCAGGCACCCTTCCACGTGCCAAGTTAATTCTTCTGCGTAATTAGTCGCAAAATAGGAACTGAACATCTGCAAATCTCAATCGTGGCTAGTCGGCACACAGCCACATTCTTGGCTGCCAAAATCTTGGCAGCCTGCAGACCGCTACAACAAGGGCGTCAAACACGCACTTACACTCATTCCGCCGCTTCCACGTCATCATCAACCCGGTCTTCCGGAACGAACTTTCTGCATGGTAGTTGCGAGCCCCAAGGTTGCAGTTACCAGCGACTGTGCGCAAGGTTGCTTGCTGAGCATTTTAAAATGTACTCTTCTGTGTGTCTGTCCGTCTGTGTGTATGGCTCTCTAAAAATAACGCGGTTAGGTGTACCATAAACGTACTAAGTGCGATCATGTTTGTCCCCCCACCCAAATTGGTACGTTGCATATCCGAAGTCCCTATTTGGCTAGATCGCTATTGTGATGTACGCACGTCATTGGTTCAGATCGATCAATAGTGAATCTTTTCATGCAAGAATACACTGAACGCCCATAAGAAAGGGCTGACCGCGTTGCGTGAGTATACTTCTGGCATAAATCAGGCACTGACAGCATCATACTCCTTCTTCAGTGAAAGCTACTGTTGTGCAGTGTTTTCTTTTTTCTCGATTCTCCGAAAAGGATTACTAACATCAAAGGGAGAGTTCTTGAGCTTGCTCCCCTATCCTATATAGTACGTTCACTGTGTAATATTTTGTGCGTGATGATCAATCAAAATAGTGTGTCAAGACGGTAGAAACACGTTCGATTAGGATGTGTATTTGGTTTACCACTTTAACTATGGAAGGTTATTGAAGAGCTTTGAAGTTTGTATCGGACATTCCACACATCTGTTCAAGATAGGGGAGCAAGCTCTGGAGCTCGCTTTTTGATGTAAGTTATATAGTTCGGCGAAGTGAATAAAGTTGCGAAACACTTTACTCCAGCAGTTACTGTAGAAGGAGTGTAATGCTGTTATTGCCTCTATTCACTCAGTACAGTAAACTCAAGCTAAGCGATCAGCCTTTGCGTATGAGCGTCTAGAATTTGCTTATGTGAGCATGTTCACCTTTGATCAATTTTAAGTCAATCACGTGCGTGCATCGCGGTAGTAACCTTGCAAAATAGTGACACCTTTTATAGTAATCGGTCTGTGAGTGGGGATAAACTGGATCGAACTTAGTACGAGTCAGGTACGCCTACCCAATAATTCACACACGCACAGACACACACTCACAAAAAGACCGACAGACGGATGAACGGACAGATAAGTACGTTTAAAAGTTCGGTATTCAACCTTGCGCACACTCGCTAACAGCTTCACCCTTCGGGCTTGTAATTATGGCTACAAGCCAAGTCTTTATCCACGCACGTGCCACACTGATCTCAGTGCAGCCAAAAAGGTGTTGTCGTAGTCCAAGGCAAATCTCTTGATGGATAAACTATGAAACCCCATTCGCACTTTTACCAGCAAAGATGAGTGTAAACGAACGAGTATCCCTGCTCAGCGCAAAAGCATTCACGACTATTGTTGTGGAACTCTTATCCCGTTCAACCACGCGGTACGTGTGATCCCGCTAGAGAGGGCTACGATCTGGACCACAATGATGGCGAGAATGACTTGACCATGCAAGTCAACAGGAATGGTAATTGCTATACTAGCGTGCGAACATATTGAAACTTCGTAAGCTTAAACAGGGGCCTATTGTTGCAGCTCCCGGCTCACCATCATCGCCATTGCGTGCAGTATATTTCTAGCGATTACCGGAGCTGATAAGTGTCGTCTAAGATGGATAACTTTGCAATCGTAATTAGAAAAGATAAATCGGTTGACCGAAAGGTCGAAAGCCGCGATGACGCAACCTTATATTTTTGCTGTAGCAATCATGGAGATGTACAAGCGAACGCCAAACAAAACCCCGGTGCTCAAATTAGTGCTGGCAGTCTACCACTTAATCGTGTTTCCATCGCTACTCCAGTGTTATATTGCTCTGCCAGCCTACCCAAATTCTCTTCGACGTTTCGACAGATCTCGCATTGCAGTATCTGTACAAAGTGCGTAGATCTATTGCACAATGATTACTGGACGAACTGATAGCTCCGACCAACAAATTCCCTAGGTAGAGCATTATCATCCAGGATGCGCCCCTCTCGGCTGCATGATGCCTCAATTTGCCTCGAATGCGAAAAATGGTAGAACATCGTATCTTTGGCTTAGCCGTACTGTGTTGAGTGAGGATTCCTATCCGCCGATGTCAACTGCAGACACGGGTTCGCAGCCAGACTATTGCACAATGGCATCATAAGCTGAATGCAACTCGCCAGCGTTGATCCTATCTCGCCAGATCGATTGGTGACATTAAGTTGTACCATACTAGTGCAAGTCTTTCAATTTGCATTCCTAGATGACATAGGATCCTGAGAACAAATCGAAAATAAGTGCAATGCAAGAAATTTACACACCTGTCAATTTTAGAAAAGGTGAGCTGGTCACGGCTTCACTTGATTGAGCCTTTGTCGTGCAGTCCGTCATGAGCTGTTGCTGTGGCAATTTCGTTGCTTTGCTCGTTACGAGGGCTGCAATCGACACCGTATTCGATGCAGCTGAACGTCTGCATCGCGTTTTGGTGGACAACGTAGCCCCTAAACAAGACTTCGCATACGTAAGCGTCAGAATAATCTCATTGTATCGAGATCGAATGCTGATAAGTGACAGCTCGGAACTTGGGCTAGCATGTTGCTAGCTCGAATGTCTACAGCACATCTGTGAGAATGTGACGAATCTTTGTGTATGAGAGCTTCCGAAATCCGAGCACGAAGAGAGGTCGGTCGAGGCGAGTGATACCCATCACGCGAAAGCTTTATGACGTCAGATGTGAGTCGGCTTGCGCAGTACACTCAAGATACACAAATTGCAGACGGTTCGGTAAAGCTAGGGGTGTACGAACCGGGCGACCACACTCAATGTTGACAACTAAGCTCTAGTCATGCTGCCATTACGTACAGCGAAGATGTCATGGTGTTAAGAATGAACAATGTGCATCCAAAGTTGGCGTCTTGTTTCATAAGACATCAAAACAAGGTCTGCATGATCTAGCATCCAGTTTAGTGATGGTCGCAGAATCCTCATGCGAACTAATCACATTGCAGTTGTAAGTCGCGCACCTTGTGGTTTATCATAGCATGCATCGACAAAAATTCTTACGAATGGGCGGTGCAGCTGCAACTACCGAGCATCCATTGCTATGATCAATTTCCAAGCTTTTTGGGTAGACTCTGTCGCCATTGAATCTAAAGTAAATGGAAAACTATCGCAAATGACGAGAAAACTCTTTCCAGTTTCAGTTGATGGGTGCAATCGTTACTCGTTCATCTTAAATATTGTATCATGTCTTCTTAAGTTTTTCAAAATAAACCCGACAAAGCCGCACAAAGCCGTCTCTTTCGTTCTACCGCAACCAGACAAGTCTTCCGGTACCCTGAACTCATTTAAACGAGAATAGATGCCCAAAAGTTACGTGTTTTGTTGTTGTATTGCAGAATGATTGATTCTACTGTGATAGACATTGAACGGGTTCCGGAACTGTTCTTACCCTACGTAAGCTCTTGTTACTACCCAATCTCGAAAAATACGCACAAAACCCAAGTCAGGCTCGTACGCAATGTCGTAGTAGCAGAATTGTGGAGCTAAAAGTCGCCTTGGTCCATCTCTAAACCTACTCGGAGTTTTGCTAGCGATCGGCATATACAGTAAATCTTTTGTTCGGGGACAGTTGCGCATAGGGCAGCTAAAGATGGTCAAATTGGCGAAAGCTCTCGGTCTCAAAGTCGATAGTAGGCTTGATGTCATATCGAGGCGCTTGTACTACATTGAAGGTGCTCTGCTGATTGGCAGCATCGCTTTGTATTACGAAGACGCTCTGATTGACGTGTAAGTCGTAACTTCGTTCATCTATCTCATGTGGCATCTGCGTCCCTAATGGACCATAGTCAACGGCGTAAATGCTGCATGTTCGAGGCAATGAGATGGTTACGTGGGTCGTAGCCAGACTGTAGCGGAGCTACACAGCTCCTTAAGTCAGAGGAAGACTTAACGCTTTACGAGCAACTTAGTTCTAAAGAACTAACGACTTTACGAGTCAACAAGCTTTATAGCTTCAGATCCCTGTTCCAGGGGACCTAACGATTCAGTGAATCGACAGCACTTAGTGCTCAAGAGTAGCTAGCTCAAGGAGGTGTCGCTAACTCTTAGTGATCAGAGATCAACGATCAAGACGGCTCGCAAGCCACGTGTCTTTCGGATCAAAATGGGAACTGATTTTATTTTTGTTAAAGCCTATAGAATATCTTAATCCTACTCAAAGATCTTTCGTATCTAATGGCTGACACTCGTCAGCCCCTACAAACCGATAAGATATTCTATATCACCTTCACAGAAGCGAACCCTCAGGTGTGTAACACCTCTGGTACAAAGTACCATGATTTCGTGCAACCCCGTTACACAGACTGCTCCCGTGTATTCGAGGCAACATTCGAATTTAGACGAGCAGGGGCGGGCAAGTCCAACTTGCAAGAGTTCGATAACACCTTGAAGCGTTGCTCTAACGAAGTTTATAAGCCTGTAATTTCTCGACAGGTTGTGTGAATCGCCCAGCAGCAGTTGCAGTTGCCTGTAGAACACGTGTACCCATTTTATTTCCAAGTTCACGACGCCCCTCCCCATTCTTTCAAGTTTAAGCGGTTCGCAATTCCGAAGTCATGTGTCTCTTTGACACCCCGCTAACGCATCTATCAACGGCCATTATGACGGTAAAAGCAAGTCCTGGCCCAACGTGAAAGCCAGCAGGTCCTTGGCAGTGAAACAGCCGCCACTTGGCCCACCTGTTTCTTCGCTAAAAAAATCGACACCTGCTGATGTTCAAATGCGACAGTGGTAAAAGAGGGAACGTTCTCGATTGTGGTGCAATGCCTAGCAACATGCACGTTGCAGGTGATATTAAATTCATAAAGATTCAGGTCCGCAATCACACGCTAAATAACGTGGGTACTTGCATGCACCCCTAGGTTGTTGTGGTCCCTGCAGTTATTGTTGCATTTGTCTTGCTTTTGGCTTCTACGGTCGAATTGATCGAGGTGTCTGCTGCATATATAGGAAACCAGTCGACGAAGGTAGCCGATCACGGGGTTTGAGCGCGGTCCGACCACTAATAAGTGTACTGGGGTAATTTCGAAGCGGATTTGTGACATCTTCGTCTGCTGTAAAATGCGCGCAGACTGGAGAAGACAGCAAAACGGGGTCTACGTGCTGCAAACTTTGACTGAACACACAACTAAACGATTCCGATCTGATCTCCAGAGACCCCTGCGATGTATACAGCGCGACTCGTATCCTCTGCACTCATTTCGTAAGTTTCCATTCGTAAGATTGTCGGGTCCGACACCGACACCAACTTAAGCGCGAAACCTGGCTAGGATTCTTCGCACACTGCACGTCATGACTTTTTGAGAAAACCGAGCTTCTCGTCTGGGCAATCTCAAAAACATGTACATCTGTATTGACCTGAATGCGAAGCTCAGCGTCCGCACGAGCGAAGCTGACTCCAAGCCTTGTGTGGATAAGAACCGTAAACGTCACCCGTAAACGCCTATTTTGGGCTGCGATGACCATTCACTCTACCGATTTATCCTCACTAGCACTACTAGCCACATTGTTGCCTGTATGCAGTACACTTTTACATACCTGCGGGATGAAAGGTAAGATAACTAGCTAATGTATCTCGAGTCATCCGTGTCATCCGACATTCTACAACAAACTTTTGTTGTGAAGAAAGTAGATGTGTGGCGTAACGCCACTGTAGTGCCAGAATGTGGAAGTGTCGTTCACGCGATGCACAAAGCGGTGCCAAATATATTGCGCGCAAAAAGCGTCTCAGTCTGATATGGGATTTTTAGTGATCAACGTGTGGTCAAAGAGATATCTCGAGCACACGTCACGCAGTGGTAAACTTGCAATGACCACGCCTGGCAAGGCGATACGCAGCAACCATCTCATCACTCACTATTGCTTCATTGCTTACTGATGTCCAGTTCGACAATTGATCGGACAAAGCTATTCTGCATCGTTATTTTAGTAGCTGCTGCGCATTCGTGACGTCAAGATAACGAGCTGCACGTGGGGCTCGGCGTACTCGTTCAGCAGCTCACTCTGTCCGGTCAGCCGATACTTCTTTCGTATGTAATTTCTTCCGTCTGGTAGCATTGGACGCATCGTGCTGCTCTTGTGATAAAATGCACATCATCGAGCTCATTAGCGCAGCATATGGGCTTTTCGGATGAGTAGACAAGTACAAAACTAGGGAGGGATCCGACACAAAGTTGATGGCGCACTAGCCTCCTCGGCAGCCGATAAGTGCAGCACGAGTGCAACACTTGAGTCATCTCACTTCTATACCGTAATAATTTGCTATCAGCCGAGCAGTGCCCGCAATCGACAACATGTCGCTCGTATGCAGATCGTTGCGATGTGAATCCTGGTTAGAATCTCCGTGACTAGACACCAGTTAAGTATCGTGATTGCCCGCACTATCTTCATTCGAAAAGACTGCGCTGCTACCTGTCCGACTTCTTACGACCACAAGCTGCATAGTAATTGTAATACTCGCTCAGGACTATTCAAAATCGATACAATGTAATCGCAGTTACTATCGCAATTCTCTCCTGACTCGCGCACAGCAGCGATGCTTGGTCCAACAGTCAGTCGATCGTGTCGCAGACATTTTCGTGTCCACCTTATCAACGCTCCTCTCGATTCGACGCTCACAATCCCGACTTCTCGATTGGTCAGTCCCACGTCCATCGACGCGGTCTCCGATATTCTACATCTCAAGCCCGTCTTATCCATCTTCGACCTAAAAATACCTCGCACAATAGGACGATAGAGTGGCACCGGACGACTCCAGCTGTTGAGTGCTCTCTATTTCGCAACTTTGGCTTGTCAGACTTAATACGTGAGCACGGGCGGATAAATCTGACAGAAAAAATTTCGGAAAAAGTTCAGAGCGTGTGGCGATCGACATGAACGACGCGCTTCAGGCTCAGAGTGGGAACCCCGCGGCTGTTGCAGCGGCAGCGAAGCAGTCGGAGAGGAAGCGTCTCAAGCACCGCGAATACGTCAAGAAGTCGTACAAGAAGAAACTCGTGCGTGTGGACGCTATTGCTGCCGTCACTTTCATTTCTGATGATGCCCTAACGTCCGAACGATTATGCTTATTTGTATTTCTATGGTGACTTTTATGCGTCTTTTTGCTCTGCTGTCGTTTGTAGACGACACTGGAAAACCTCCGACGGGAATTAAATGCTTTGGATCACCAGTACGCGTCCATGTTGCTGCAGGAAACAGGAACATGGCAGTACCAGCAGATTAAGGGCGGAAACGCTCGTGCCACTACTAGCTTCCAGAGACCCACGATGCAGAAATATCTCCAGGCCACGGGACTGAAGAAATGGTATCGAGAGGAGAACGACCGGTTGTATCAGCTCAATGCGTGTCACATGAAAGTCGAGAGCCGGATGGGGCAACTGTTCGACGCTTACGAAGCCACTAAAGTACCGCTGCACTGCGTCCCGGCTCCTTACCAGTACCACATCTCGCCGCTTTGTGCTGCTGCGTACGAGGGATTGATTGACAAGGCGAAGATTGACGTGCTGTGCTTCGCTCGTAACCCGGTGAAAGTCAGCACGGGAGCTCAAATACTCGGCTGGACAGACAAGCGCGAGGTTCACGAGCGGAAGTTTGAGTTTGCGCTGCAAAAGGAGATTGGAGTCTCACCTCTTGTCTTGTTGCAGAGGAGTTGGTCGATCTTTTCGGATCCCGTGGAGTTCTCGAAGATCTATGGCTCTGCGCTGGACGTGCAGTTTCACGTGCTGCAGCATGTTGATGAGAACACGATTCTCATTTATCGACGCATTGCACCGGCGGCAGATGATTCGCGAGTAGTCAAGAGTATATTTTTGCTTGCAAAGAGAGCTATTCGCGAAGGGTTTATGCTGCTCTTTCGGTCGGTCGACAAGGACCTTGTTCACTTCAGAGAGGTGGATGTTAACGGCCAACCTCAGGATTACATGGACTCGACCTCGGCCCTCAAATTGATGAGGTCTGAAATGTGGGTGGACAAGGACGTCTGGGTCCTGATTCACAACGTCCCCAAAGAGCCGGAAAAGTGTTTGTTCCAGTTTGGCGGGGCCACTACAACCACGCTCTGGCTGCGAGAAGTATTGTTTATCGCGGTTCGATGGGAGAACATGGCCGTGGGCTCACAGTTCTCACTTACCGCCGATTGAGGTCGATCGAGTTGAGGAGAGAGATTGTATTTTTGAGTTGTTAAATATTAATATGTTTATAGGTACTCACCGCTGCTTTATGAAGTTGCAACGCAAGAAGGGAGGCAAGTCTTGTGATATCCTAGCAAAGGACCGCCAGCAGTACCTTGATTACCTCCTCCATGCTCTATAGCACACGAACTTATCACGCGCTGATCGAATCGCCGTGGGTTTTGACTAAAAATCAAACCACGTTCAATACAAGGTGAATGGTTGGTCGCACCGTCGGTATTGGCTACTATGGCTTCCCTGACATGCTCGCACTACAAGTCTGATGGGTAAAGTATCACGTACATATCTCTAGTAAGAAAGCATGACATCGCATCGGGTTGCTTAGACATGTCTTGGCACTACAGCTCATGAGAAACACGAGGCCCCCTCTTGTGACCAGCAGTTGTTTGTAGTGAAGCTTTTACATTGAAGCTGTGTCGTCTCAGGTTGTGGCAACTGTAGGGTGTTTCGAGACGTAGTGATACATCTCTCAGTGATACAAAATCAGTAAAACCACAATCGGCGTCATGTATGCAGCACCTCTGGCTCCGCGAGATAATTTGCATCTCAAACCAGCAGACTTCCGAGCAGCTGAAGAGATCTGCACATGTATCAGGTTCTCATGATGAAACAATCCGTTCGATGCTGACGCGCAGTTCTATTCGCTTTCGTGATTCAAAGCAGATACAGCACTCGATCGCGCCTCATGGATATCGCAGTTACACGAGGAAGAGGGATAACGTGAGCAAAGAACTTGACTTGTACAAATGTATCTGGAGCAATGGTGTAGCACATGCTGAACAGCGTATTGTCCAGGACCGTTTTGTACCTACGCCACATGATATGTTCGAATCTCTTCTGGTTGAAGTAAGCTCATGGTCACAAAGTAGTTGTCCTTGTCTGGACACTCGTGACAGATAAAAACTCTCATTTTGCTCATCCCACGATTCAATCCGAGCGCAGTTGTATGTTCTTATGTGGCTGTGAGACTACCGATCGAACTTGTTGCGTTCTTTCCATGCCTTACGCACTGATGATTCTGCCAGCGTTGAATTCGAATTCAAATCAGCTTTGAAACAGCGAGAACAGACAGCGTTCAAAGTTATAGTTTGCCAGACTTTCGATGTAACGGGCGTGTTCCAGTACGTCTCACCGAATTTCTCCGATGTGTCGCCTACACGTCGTATGTGTGTAAATGGAGACTAGCCCAGGTATAGTCTTCAAGAGGTGCAACCTTCAGAGGCAGACGCTTACGAGTGGAGTCATCCTGTAAGATTCGCCAGCAATTGTAAACTCGAAAAAGGTGACCGATGGTCACGAGTGAGATGCTTGAATGCCATTCCAAGCTGAAGACTAATGTCGAAACGATGATACGAACGGCATGGCTGCCTGATAACGGCGCTGGTAGCTGTACTAGGATGAGGGACCGAACGTACTCGACGACTCAATCTTTGAGCATGCTGGTCACATCGATATCCTCAAATTCCCGTCTACAAAGCACGTTTGCGTTCAAGGGCATCGATCGCATCGAGCACTCCTTTGCCACCACTTTTGTAGCTAGCTGCTTGGCAGCTATCCTGCCGTCGGAAAAGCATGATGCAAGGCTGTCGGGTGTACCAATCGAGGAAAAGACTCGTCCAGCAACGACCTCAGGCAAGCAGAACGAGGCTTTACGACACTGACCATCTGCAAAGAGATGGTAAGCTGATTTTTCCTGCTTGTTGTACGAACGTACCCGGCGAGGTCATTTTTCGCCTCTAGAGATGCGGACTAGCTGCAAGTAGACCGCAGAAATAAAACGGTACTGCTCGCAACTGTCTGCAAACGGTCGTGGAACGCCCTGGGATGTATCCTTGCAGTAGCTCCATCAACGTCGATAGCGTTTTATGTAAATCCGGACTCGCCCGACTCCAGAGATAGTCGGTGGGTGCACGGACTGATCTCGGCTAAAGAGCATGCTCATGTAGCTCATAAACACGCGTTATCAAAGATTCTTCTGATCGATTAGTCAGTCCGTGCTCGGACACTACGAAATTACTATACTTCTCACATGACACGCATAGGTATGACTTGGCCTTGGTCCTGCCTGCAATCGAAACAGCTACATTCGATTTACATTCGTTGTCACTTCTTGCTATAGTCTCGCCGCGTCTCTGGCGCTGTACTAGCCAGGACGTAATGGCAAGTCAATGCGGCCGACTGCCTATCGTGCATGTGAAGCCTTCGGTCCAGTCAACTACTCTCTTGGCATGGAAAAAGGTGACTTGCTGGAATGATAAAGCCAGAGACAGCGATATCGAACCTGTTTTGCCAGCATCAAGTGAGCAACTCGAGACCGCAGCAACGTCACGTCTGCTTGGTTGAGCGTCCATAAGTGCAGTAATGCGTCTTTCCCCTCGCTTCCGATGTATCTCGTGGTCGTCAGCCATTGATAGTTACAGCCGTGCTATCAGATCGTCCTCTTGTTCCAGGCACCGGAATCCATCCCATGCGGCTCGTTTGCTCGAAAAAGAGATCAGCGGCGAAAGTTCGCTCGAACGGCTGCTTGGCTGCATGCGTTAGATTTGAACGGCCACCAAGAGCCAAGTCCTGCTGGACGCACTCACCTCTGAGATGACGGTCTGACCTCGTTTGTGTTTCTTCGAACCAAAGCATCACCAGCCCGTGGTGCACAAACCTGGCGATAAAAAAAAATAGCAGCCAGCCTGTCCCATGCGAAGAAGCAAGTGGCTGGACTTGAATGACTCGGAAATGACTCGGAGATGCCACCGTCAAGTCCCGCGTGCTGCGCAAAATACGACACGAACGACACGAACGAGACAGCTGAGGCACCTGAGTCATTGCGTTTTGCATGCATTCCAGTAGAGCTAGTTAAGACAAGTGCACGTCGAATGACAATGGCTTTTAGTGGCCGATCTGGGTGAACGAGTTCGTTTAAAAGCCATGGCCATCATCAGATTGATGGAGACTTTCGACGAGTACGTCCAGCGAGCAATCCCACTCTTGGAACTCGTCGCGCGCATAGAGGCGACTGGATATCTTTGTACCTGCGGCTCGGCGACAGCAGCAGATTAAGCTTCTAAAGTCGCCGCTGCGACCTTGGAACGTAGTCAGCGCGTAGGATCGATCACACGGTCGATCAAGGGAAGGCAGGAGGCACTCGCCTCTTCTTCTCGTTGATTTTCTTTCTTAAATTTCTTCAGCATGCGCACCTTCACGCGGAACGAGTTCACTTTCGGATTCCCTTCCTACATCCGACACCCACATCCACCCTAGCGAGTCCATCTCCTCTCCTCCTTCATCGGCTTTTCACCTGTCCTCTTCGAGGCCGGTCCCACCTGATCCACCATTTCGACTGCAATCGCCTCCACTGCTGCCAATGCCTACTCGGTGCAGAGCATGCCCGAGCTACCCGTGCAACCGCTTTCCATCTCGCTCGATTTCTTCGACATGAACGACATGAACGTCGTCGGCCACCACCACACGCCTCTCTCGTCTGCTTCGTCCTCTTGCTCTGAGCCAAGCAAGCCCAGCTCGCTCTCTTCACAGCTGAAAAGACGCAACAGCAGTAGCAGTAACACCAGCAGTGCCAAAGTGTTGTCGTCCAAGCGCCTCTCGAACGAGGAGAAGCAGGCCAAGAACCGCCTCTTTGTCAAACGATGCTACTACAAGAAACGCGAGGCCCTCAAGAATCTGCGCGAACAAGTGGCGCAGCTCGAGAGTGAGTTCGACTCGGTGCTCGCGCACTGGCAGCAACAGAATGAACACGCAGCCGAAGCGTTTCGCGACGGCAAGCGCTGCATTACAGCTCAAGATCTCTACGCAGAGCTCACGACGGTGCGGGGCGCACTTATTCAAGAGCAGCAACAGCTCAATCTACGACTGGCGGATCGCCATCTCTTTCGTCAACGTCTCCAGCAGCTCTACGAACCTACGCGCTGAGCTGAGCTGAGCTGAGCTGAACTTTGTTCAGTACCAGCTACTGCTACCAAGGAATTTTGTGACTGGGAAGACGGTGAATGGCTCGACTGGTACCTCGTAGAGTGATTCGATGATGGTCGTGGTTGGTTCGGCCTCATCCCATGTATCGTGCTCTGTGTATTGTTCGTACCCATTTGATCGACGACTCGAGCGTCCGACCACGTTGGATCGACATTTTTATTTAAAAAGAGAGAGCGACAAATAGTGGGTTGCCTACCTGCTGTAACTACTCCATGATGAATCAATCCAGACGCATCTCGTCCATTTACTCTTCGCGAACTTTGATGATACCGGGTCTCCATTTGTACTCATTCTTAGCTGCTGATCATCAATCATACTCAGACTGTACTGGCAGCTTATGTAGCAGCTACTATAGCCGAGCGACGACCAACCTCTTTTGTTTTCCTGGTCGTCGTAGAGCGACTTAATAGCCTGTGCTTGTCCTTAAGTCGCGCAAAACCTCGACATATCGCACATATATTCTGGATTTGCCAGGATTACGAGCGATCAACGGTGGCTACATCGCCGTAGCCAATTGCACGTCTTGTGTCTCATTTAATCGCGTCGGACTTTCGTCTAATTAGAGCTCAACTCGCTCCAGTATAAAGTACCGATACTGGGTATCAATATCACTATTAAGGAGATCGACCACGTCGGACTCGAAGTCCGGATGAAGACCATGGAAAGCGACATGGCTGCACTAGCACTCAATGTCGAGTCCAATGACGAGGGGAATGTCAGTGAGACCTCGTCTTCGGAAGAAGGCGTGTCGTCTTCTTCTTTCGAGAATATCCCACCGCCATCCATTTTTAGCGATAATGACGACGATATTGCGGGTCAATTGCTGAGTATTTTGGCTGAGGAGATGTCTCAGAAGAAGCGGAAGCGAAATCTCAAGACTGCGGGGCCAAGTACAACAGGAATTCGTCATCGGAAGGTACTGGCTCTGGCGTTACCTAAGGACGACCTCAAGCGGGAGAAGAACCGCGACTCGGTCAAACGCTCGTATTATCGCAAAATTGTACGGTACTCTTCATTATCATTGGCTGGAGGACGACACCATAGACATGTATGAGGCTGGTGCTGTTTTTTTAATCGCCGGTGGTGGTACAGGAGACACTTGATGAACTGAGACAACACGCTGAGGATCTACGGGAGCAGTACATGACTCTCCTGGCTCAATGGGAAAACAAGACGAGGAAGGAGAAGGTCGAGGCAGCTTCTACCCCGTCCAGTCTTATAGAAAGGTACCTGGAACTTGCAAGGTGGCGTGACCAACTGTGGATGGAGAACACGCAGCTTCAAGAGCAATTTGACGATCAGGAGAAAATCACGTATCGTTTTCAGCGACTGTTCAATATTAATTACCAGCTCATGAACCGCTCATTTGCAGCACCAATACAACAAGCCGACGCTGATCGCCGTGTTCAGACACCGATGCTTATCATGAACGAGATGTCGTTTGGAAGCTTCAATGTGTTTGCACAGGAGGCACAACGCACGTTCGAGACTTTCCTGGAGAGTCGCCATTGCATGGTCACAACGGAGACGGCACTTGGATGGACGTGCTCCCACGTTGCCAAAGACAACTCATTTGGCTACTACTTTGAAAAGAGCTTTCAGCCCAATTCGTACAAGTGTGTGTCGGAAGTAGTGCGGGCAGCATGGCAAACACTCACGTCGCCCGAAAAACATTCGAAGCTGTACGCGCCGGCGTTAAATACGCGTTTCCACATCATGCAGCAGTTTGACAACAACAGCTATGTGCTGTATCGTACTATGGAGAAAGAGGGAGAGGACTCGATCACTACAGCCCTCATCATCATGACGCGCATTCCTCATCCAAATTACTCGGGCTGCCTCATTATCTGTAAAGGTCTTCGCCGCGAAGAGCACACGCTACATGTGGAGTTTAGCGAAGTCATTGCGTTGCAGAAGAAGAAGGAGTGGCGAGAATCCATGTACTGGCTCAATATCGAGGAGAAACATGCCGATGACAAGGTTGAGGCGAGTCAAGATGGTTCTAACGAGAACAAGAGGAAGATGCTGAAAGTCGTGCACGGCGGAATTATGAACAACATGGGCGATCGCAGTCGCTCTTTTTGGCTATTTGAGAACTTCCAGATTGCTCTTCGCTGGGAGCAGAATCTTGGTCTGGGTGAACCGATAAGCTGAAGCCCTTAGACGGAGCTAAGCATGGACATTGGAAGCCAAGTCTAAACGTTGTCCCTGTATCTTGCGTTTTTAGCGCTTCCGGTGGCTTTCGATGAGTGGGACAAATGGGCATTGGAAGCAGCGTCATGTCAAAGTTGCAAAGTAGCACGGAGAATTGAAGCATGTGATGAAGACATGTCAGAATACGGAAGGTGCAAACGAGGATTATAGCAGCTATAACATTCATGGGAACTAGCGATGCGTTATGCATATGATGCCAGTTGTAGATAACGTGTACGCATGTAAACTAGAATAAACTAAGCGTGCATATCTTGCTACAGCATTCCAATATTCCTGTTCACACTTGAATCGACCGTCTACAAACCGACTGTGTACTGTTAACCCGCAGAATTCGACATTTAAATCATCAAAATTAACGGTCAACGGCAATTGCTTGTAGTCTGCCAATGACGTTGACGCCTAGTTTAACCCCATAATTGCATGTTGAAACCTCAAAATTGTAAATATCGCTGCGGTCGTCACTTGACAATTTTCAGAAATGCCACATTGTACTAGAAATAACGACTTAGCCGCAATCGCTTTAGCAGATGTTGGCCACCGGATGCCATTTCATTACTTTCCTTATTTTATTCTGGTTTTAGGCTACGGCGAACGATCTCGTCGGTCTTGCAGTCCAATTCGTGCTCAGTGCACATACAAATGCAGCTATTGTAGGTAGTTGCAGCAGATACACGAAGCAAGACAGAAATATGTCGCTACGCTTCACTTGTCCGTAGCATCAGCAATTGTCGAAGCAAATAGTGTAGATGATCCCTGATCGAACTATTATCACTGGAACCGTGACCTTTTTTTGGTTGATCATGACAAGTGACTACTGCGGCGGTATGCGCAGTAATTTTGTTGGCCATTCGTTCCGAACGCACGTTATGTGGATATCTCTGTCCACATTGACAACAGTCCGGTATCTAAAGCGTAGTACAGGAGGAGAAGATATCGCTGAATACGTCAAGTACGACTAATGCCGGTGCCAGCTCATACCGATCAGTTCACGTTAAAGCTGGCTGACAGACATGCCGCAATTTGCTTCTATCGGTATGAGCAGCGCACAAGCACTTCTTCTCTGCGTCGGACGTGCATTGAGGTGCTTGTGCATGTATGGACCATGTCACTGGACAGTATATCGTACGTGCACCCGGTAATATAAGCGACTCGCCGGACGCTGGTGCTAAAAGGATGCTGTGGAGCAGGTAGTACCTGGTCATTGTCTTGAACGACTTTAGACTATTGCGGAGAGCAACAAGGTAATTATATTTTGTAAAGGCATTGGGTCTTCAGAATAATTATTGATCTTTGCTATGTGCCATTTGGACTCAGCGTCGATGACGAATTTCACGTTCTTTCAGGGTGGGTAGATGCTACTCGAGACCACCTATCAGAGGAGTTTCAGCTCTGGGAAGTGTGTTTAGTGGTCTTGTAACTGAAGGAAACTGTAGTACTGCTGCGTTTGGTCCTACGGTGTCCTGAAGGTTTAATCGACCAAGCCATTGTCAAGTGATTCGACCGTGGACACGGACGATCTAGGCAACTTTGGGCAGAAGGCATCCATATGCTACTACAGAAATAACAATAACATTTCATTGACGTGTTTACTGTAGAAGGAAGAGAATGTGATCAGGTCCATTGCCCATCTTCTGTCTATAGGCGGTTAGAAATTCATATTCGTAGACGTATTGCCACAACATTGCAACTGCCCGCCTTTCGTAAAATAGCCAGCACTAAAATTACGCGGACAGCCTAGGCTAGACCCGAGTCAGGGGCGTCTGAGCTATTGTAAAAAACTGATATTGGACGGTAGCTTGCGTCCTAAGACTCAATGTTTCCCATTGTAGCCATATAAACTCTAGAGGGTGCTACACGTATCCCGTTGGCTTCGACGTCTGCCATAGATACACGTCGTACTCCACGTCGGTTGTGACTGCATCCACTCTTTATTAATCATCCAGCTACAACTTATTTGTCACGCTAGATACGTTACTATCATACGGTCAGTAGGGCGCCAACATAAACAAAAAGGCGTCACGTACACGTTCTTCTGCACGAACCAATGAGTAGCAGTTGGCCCCTGGTCTGCATTTCAATCCTGCTCCTCCCAATCCAGAGTTCGCTCAACAGCCTTGTGCCACTGGTGGATAAAATGGCTACGCTTCTCAGGCTCCATACCGGGGTTCCAAGTGGTGCCAACCTGCCAATTCTCGCGCAGCTCATCTTCTGTCTGCCAGAAACCAACAGCCAAGCCAGCAGCGTACGCGGCACCGAGGGCTGTCGTCTCGGCTACTGCTGGACGGATTACTGGCACGTTTAGCACATCTGACTGGAACTGCATGAGCGTATGGTTCACCACCATACCACCATCAACTTTCAGCTTTGTGAGATGGACGCCGCTGTCGCTTTCCATAGCTGCCACTACCTCCTGTGTCTGGAATGCAGTCGCTTCCAGAGCAGCTCGACAAATGTGCTCACGGGTAGCATACGACGTCAGACCGACCATTACACCACGTGCGTCATCACGCCAGCGCGGCGCAAAGAGCCCAGAGAACGCCGGCACAAGATACACACCACCATTATCCTGGACTTGATTTGCAAACTCCTCGACCTCCTCTGCACTGCGAATCATCTTGAGATTGTCACGCAGCCATTGCACGAGCGATCCTGCAAAAGGGATCGAGCCTTCCAGTGCATACACAGCCGGCTGGTCACCAATCTTGTAGCCCAATGTAGTAAGTAGACCCTTGGTAGAAGGTGTGGGTGTCGTTCCGGTATTCATCATAAAGAAGCATCCTGTTCCATACGTATTCTTTGCTTCGCCAGGAGAGAAACAGGCTTGACCAAAGAGTGCCGCTTGCTGGTCCCCCATAACTCCCGAAATAACGATCCCAGGGATAACACTATCCTTGTGCCCCACCGTGTAAACTTCCGAGCTTGAGCGAATTTCCGGTAGCATTGATTTCGGGATCTTGAGACATTTTAAAATGTCATCATCCCATTGGAGCGTATCCAGTCGCATGAGATTCGTGCGAGAGGCGTTCGTCACATCAGTCACGTGGACGCCACCATCGACTCCGCCACTTAATTGCCAAATGAGCCACGAGTCGATTGTTCCAAAAAGTGCGTCCCCTAATTCTGCTTTTCTTCTTAAATTGGGTACATTTTCCAGCATCCAGATAATCTTGACTGCGGAAAAGTACGTCGCAATAGGTAGCCCCGTACTTAAGCGAAACCGGTCTTTCCCCGTCTGTAAACATCCCTCTCCTGCCCCGTTATGTAACCGGTGGACAATGTCCAAAGTTCGTGTATCGTGCCACACAATGGCATTATACAGAGGTTGGCCCGTCTCGCGGTCCCAGACGAGCGCCGTCTCGCGCTGATTCGTAATCCCAATGGCTTTGAGCTGCGAGAGCTCGATCTGCGCCGTGGCCAGCGCCTCATGAACACACGTCTCGACGTTGCGCAGTATCTCGTCCGCGTCGTGTTCACACCAGCCTGGCTGCTGGTATATCTGCTGGTGCTCGAGTTGGTGGCTGGCTGCGACGTTGCCATTGTGGTCAAACGCGAGGAAGCGGGAGCTCGTGGTGCCCTGGTCAATGGCTCCGATGAACGAAGCTTGGGTCCTGAAGGTCATGGGGGCGAGAAGGGACTTTACAGGGGAAGAGGAGGGAAGAGGTGCGGGCGTCTTTTGAAGATACTTGGAAACTGACCGCAAGTGGACGAAGGACATTCGAAGTGATGGACCTTTGGATACTGACTGGAAAGGGCGGTCGGTGGCTGCTGCTGATTTGCTGGGTGGATGTCGATGATCACTGGATCGAAGGATAAATGTAGAGAGCGGTTAGAAATGGCGACTGTGACAACAGATTCAGGGACCCGAAACACTAATATGGGTAATTAACGGCGAAATGCGTGGGATTCAACGGAAGACGACTTGTACCGGTAACTTGTCGAGTGTGTGGATGGTCCACGCTTCTGCCTTGTTTGTTTATGGCAAAAAGTGAGATTAATCTAAATTCTCGTCCCTCTCAATTAAAAAGATAAGTTCTATCGTAATATTAAATCTAAAGTTATTATTGCATCATTTTATTTCGGATACCGTTGCTGCCTGGAAATTGCCATCGAAAAAATGTCTAGGAACAAGACAAGTCATGTAGCTATTTACACTCTTGCGAACTTGGGTGTTACATGTTCTAAGTGTGAGTTGTCAACAGTAACACAACACGGCTCGAACGCGGGAGACTTGGTAAGCATGATTTCTGCATCAAAAACGTGCTATTTTGCGTTTCTAAGCATGATTTGTACCGGCTACCCATTGGCCTAAATGTACCTAGGTCAGCAGCAACATGGCAAAAGGCCCTGTCAACGCTGTAATTATTTATTGACATTCATCACCACCATCAATGTGATGAGCATATCCACCCTATCCGTGATAGCGTAGCCGCCGCTGTTGCATCTGATGATGAATCTGCGCCCGCGATCTAAAGTATAGATGCGAAGAAGGTTGTATCGACCGGGCCTTTTTGCAGTCAAAAGTATTCATCAGCGGTTGCCAAAGACTATGCCGTACTCCAAAGCTTTCCCGTAAACATTTATCACATGTAACAGAAGCACCCCATCACATGATAATTTACATTTAGTAATTATCGAGCATGAAAATCATGTTAGGACAAATATGATATTCTCACAATATTGTCCTAATAGATAAGGTTGCTTTGCAGATGTAATGCACTGCTAGCTAATGAAAAAGAGCCAAAATTATGTCCAATAAAGTCTAGCCACGACAGACGCACGCAATGATTGGTGTGCAGATAGTCACAATATTTTTTTGTTTTTAAGTGTAGTTAAATGAAGTCAAACAGGGTTTTATTATATTGAATTCACTACACTAAACTCTTTTTTTATATCTACTGAGTACTCTTACTCCATTCGACAACCTTCCTTTGCACGTACGTGTACGTATTAGTCCAACACACACACCCTTTCATTGGCAGTAGTACAATTTTAATTAATCTAGCTGGATAAGGTGTGCCCTGTTACACCTGGTAGCACTTGTTTGTCCGTTCAACACCCATAAACATGTTGGGCATTAAGAGGAATGAATTTCATTCCATGAATGAAAGCTGCTCTAATTATGTCAAATCGAATGGGATGCCGATCGAACGTTTGAGTTAGACGACAGGGCAAAAAGCCGTTGGAGCAATATTGTCCGCCTTAATACCAGACGGACAGCGCGCCACCATCGTCGAGTTCCTTTAGATAAAACTTGATGTCTATCGAAAAAAAGTACACCTTACTTACCAACAAGGTTATCAACTGACCGAGCTGTTGAGAGAACAGAGTACTCAACAATTTAAATTGTTAATGCAGCAGCAGGCCACTGCTACCGGGCCGAAGTACACACGTCGACCCGAGACTCTACAGATTGACATCTCAAAGTACAAGGGAGCCGGTGAATACCCTCTTTGCGATACTTCGTGGAATTAGACGATGCTATAAAAACTAGCCACGTCGTCGATGAGCAAATGCAAATCGTATTTGCTCAATCGAACTTGGCTGGGCGTGCAAAGACGTGTGACTTAGGCCTTAAGATACACGACCAATGTGTCCTTAATTTCTTGGGAAGCCTTCAAGTCCCTGCTTAGGAAAACATTTGAGCCACCGCGAGATATGTTCGGACCTCGCTTTGAACATTTGACAAATCGAGCAAGGTAAACGTGACGTACACTCGTACATTCAGTACATGCGTCACTTTACCAGTTGCGTAACAGTTGTTACACTAAACAAGCAAATGTCAATTGCGTGGTTCAAGCAGGGTATCACTGATTGCCCGGTTAAAAATACTTGGTCAGGTTGGGATTTAATACCCTGGAAAAGGCGATAAGATTATGGAATAAGAGGACATCAGAATGAAACAGACTTACGCAAATTTGGATATCTTATCGTCCGTCAAGATGACGGAAAAATGGAGGCCCAGAAATAAAAATCCGGCACGCGGAGAGCGATAACTCTCGTGTAAATAACTACAAGAAATTGAAAACATGCAGAAGATGTCAGAAGACCTAGCATGATGCATACTGATGCTGTGTCCCAAACGCAGTTCCATGTGCTAAAGGAAACGTTAGCCGGCAAGCGGCCAAGAGGGGTCCAAGGCGTAGGTCCAACGTTGTTGCGAAACCGCAACAACGTAATGGACGACCAAGACACGGTCAGGGTCAGTAGGTGCGGAGACGTTTACTGATACAGCAACCTCAAGTCATGTTTCAGGCCTATTGACAAAAGTTGCTCTTAACCATCAATAATTGTGTGTTGCTGCTTCTGGTAATAATCTTTTTATCATTACCTTGAAACTTGTAGTAGCAAGAAACCGGTCGGCTTCATTTCCTCGTCGATTGTGGGGTTTCGAACAATTTGTACGACGCCAAGCGCTAAACAACAGTGAGCTCGATTATATTCTGTGCGATATCTTCCCAACGAGGATGACAATGCGCCTCGCAATAGGCATATCCGTAACAGTGATGAAACGTGTCTTGGGTAATGCCTATACAGAAAAGGGAGAACGATACGTTCATGACTTTATCACATTGGACTTCGGTGAAAATTTTGGTGTTATCAGTGGACTGCCATGGATCAGAAGATACTAGCCACAAGTCAACTGGCATTGACTAGAAGTCGATGTGCCTGTCACTTGCTCACCAGATGACAATCTTGTGAGCGCCTTGAAGCGCCCAATAACTTGTGAATGAACTACGAGCGAGTGGTTCGGTCGTTAGTACGGCTGCACATTGACATGTCGTGGCTGATCGCCACACAATGAAGATAGTTTCCGGCAACAACATGGAGACGCAGCTTGCACCAAAAGGCCCTCCACCTGAATAAGTCAAGTTGAGTGGAATATAAATGCCATTTAGACGGTCAACACCTGATTGACAACAAACCAACTACCTATGATTGGCCATTTAATTATCTTTGTGCTCTTGGAGAGTCGCACGTAGAAGACCTGTCCGCGTTAGCGCAACCACCGCCGGAGGATAGCGAGAGAACAGTTCCATTCGTATCATGTGATAATTTGGCCCAAGAGACTATTCAGAAAGAAAGTCCCTACCAACTCTGAAATAAGTTGTGGAGGAGCGCAAAGGAAGAATGACGAAAGTGTGGATCGCGCGATCCGCCTCAAGTACGAAAATCAGTTTGATTGGTGAAGCGCGTACGGAGATGGGCCCGTTGGCACGGATGATGGTGTCACACGGCTGAGTGACAGGAAATGACTGTGGAAAATATGCAGATTAACCCACTTAACGATCACGAAGAAGTAAAGGTCAAGCGAAGTGTGTCATGATGATCGAGGCAGATTACGTACCCGCCGCAGATTGCATACCGCGATCCAATGCTTCGCTATCCGGTGCTCCGTGATCCGGTACTCCGCGATCCAAAACTCCGCAATCCGGTACTCCGCAATCCGGTACTCCGCGATTTGGTTTCCTACGATCTGGCACTGTACAATCCGGTTTGGGGCGATCCAATATGGATTATCTGCTGTGGACCACAGGGTGGAAGAGGTGAATGGCATATACAGCCGACCTAGCGAACAGATAGGCATAATCATTAGTTTTAGGTTTGGTTGGTTGACATTAAACAGAATTGAATTTGCAACGAAAGACATGCGTCGACTTCTCCCGGGCACGATCCTTGGCCTCTTGTTGAATAGAGAGTGACACACGTCTCAAGTGAACTTCGCCCTTGGATTGTTTGGCCAGGCGGAAGGTCAATTTTCACGTCCCCCTTAACTGCGATAGGACGAAGTGAATCTTACGGTTCATATTTAAGATCGCGAGACGGATAAAGTGATCAGAAGGCTCGCGTATCAAGCATCACCCCTGTCAAAGGCGACTCTGGGAGCGCCCAAGTTACAAGCGATCAAGTGCAGAATCTCCACGCGATCCGCACCTACGCTGACCGGGTGAAGTATTTCCACCCCATCAACACCTATCTTAAAGACGGTAAAGTACAGCTTCAGCTCAAGCCCAACAAGAAGAGCGCAACCCGCCCCACCGATGGGTACACAAGGTGAGCAAGAACATACCAAACACGGAATCGGTGTATCCCCTCCGTTAGTCGGTCGTCCGGGCGCCAGTGGAGAGTCGAGATCGTCTCAGGAAATGAGCGATCGCCACTTTACCACAAAATCTCCAGGAACACAGATAGTAAATATTCTGGTCAACGACGGGGCAATTACAAGCACTTACCATTTTGATCTGGTCGCGCCTCCACAGACAATTACAGATATCATTCAGCTGCCCACACCCTAACAGAAGAGGTCCTTGCGCAATCTGCGTAGTGGAAAATTCGAACTATTTGCGTACTCGGCGCGGAAGACGAGTACGTAAATGATATAGGGTCGGCAACGTTCTTTGAGAAATACGAACGATATCTCAGTAGCTGTTCAATGAACCAGATTTTCCTTGATGAAAAGATTAACATCGAGCGATGCACGTCTCATACACAAAATCTCTTGAGGTCGATCGAATCTAAGGACGTGTTCCCTAAATCCATACCATGCGAGTTAACTAAGGATAGGGGTACTCATCATGAGTTTAAAATACAAGCCAGGGTCAAAGTACTGTGTCATGAAGC